CCTCCGTAGTCGTACATACATAAATCTTCCTACTACGGTCACATTTTATGTGCAGTCCGACGTTAAGTACACTTTGAGGGATTTTACAGTGCGCTGATATATTTTGTACAACTTAATGCCTTAATTGCTTTCAGTGATATTTAGAAGACTAGAAATGATTTCTTGTTAGTAGATACATATGCCGTCTACAATTATTATTAGATTAGCTATAAATGCTACGTTAGCGTTTTTCCATTAATGAAAAATGATTCAATGAATGCAGTATTAGAACACTTTTCTGTAAATTCACAACTTTAAAAACTTATTCATTTTACTCATTACGAGCACCTGTGTAAGAAAGAGATAACAAATCGATCGATAGTTTGCTTAGACATTTAAGTGGCAACCACTGCATTGACCTCATTATTTAGGTGTTTCTTTGTTGCAGTACAACGAATTAACAAAGGTATTTGATTTACCTAACAAATTATTATAAGAAGCGAGTGCAGGCATTCTTTATATTATTAAAATCACTAATTTACTTTCTTATATACTTATTCATATAAGAAACAACGTACCTATGTATATTGATTTTTTATAAAATTATTTCAATTTTTTTAAGAAACTATCTCTCTACTTACATTATTTTATACTCCTACAGAAGGGCCGATTTTCTCATTTTTGATACATTAAGATAATTGTAAAGGTACCTATACCTATGGAATTTAAAAGACCTATTTAATCATATTAATGTCAATAATACTTTAATTAATCATACTTTACATCTTAAGCAGGTAAAAATAACATGAGAGAATATTTTTCGTCATACGAAACAATTGAAGGTACTCGTAAATACATAGCTATGTATATCTATTTAAAATATTAAGAGAGCCTAGCTTAGTTGTAAATATTAACATTTTTTAAGATTCCTTTACCGAATGTAAGGTCGTGTTTTGCTAAACGATTTGGTCCATATATTGACACATTAATATATAACAGAGTTGTCGGTTTTTGTGATATTAAATATTGCTCAGTTAAGAAAGCTAAGACAAAAGTGGTGTCATGGCTCGCTACTTTAACGTATGATGCTACAGAAAAAATTATTTATGATATATCGTAATGGGCTTTTTCAATTATCTAAACTGTGCAACTGTGTAGATATATATTATGTTCATATTAATTAAGCTTTTGTTTTTTCTTTTTTTAATGCACTTATTGTAAATGCAAAATGAAACAAGCAATATTTTTATTTTTATAGTTTTTACATATCTCTTTGTCATAATAATAACTTTTACTAGCACTGTTAACCGAGCAACAATATTTTATTTGTTAATCAAATTGTGGTACTCACGATACAGGCATTGCCTAGTGTGAGTTACCCTCAGTAATGAAATATTTTGTAAACTAAACTTTTTAGACAATAAAGATTATTATTATTATTATAGAGTTATTAACTGATAAAAATAAACGATTTTTTTTATTAAAAACTAGCGGCTCACCCTCGCTTCGCTCGGGTTAAAAGCACAAACAAATCTATCCCACGGGAACCGTTCATTTTTCCGGGATAAAAAGTGACCTATTATTTGATCGGCAATATGAGGTATCAACATGCAAAATTTTACTAAATTAGGTGCATTAGTTGTTTATACTAAACTGTATAAGTTACTATAGTTTTTTATTTTTTAACCATTAAAAAATAAACTTTATTTTTTTGGGATGAAAAGTATTTAGAATGTTGACCGGGGATATAAGTATCACCAGGCAAAATTTCATTTAAATCGGTCCAACAGTTTCCGAGATTAGCCCGTACAAACAGATAAACAGACAAAAAGACAGAGAAACAAAAATTGAAAAAATCTGGATTTGTTCTACTTCTCTTCTTACATTCCCCTGACTCGGTTTTTAGATTTTTTTTCTATGTACAGACATTCGATTTCTACAGTTTTATTTTAAGTATAGATTAAATCAAAAGGTACTAGTTTAATAACATAAATAATTTATAATAATACCCAATTCTAAAAAAAAGTGTTATATACTAAGTCACAGAACTTTTTAAAAACAAAAGCATCTGAAATATAATTAATTGAAATTTTATTATAATCTTTACATCTTTAGCTTAATACTATAATTATGTAAATTTAATTTCTATAACTACCAAACACAGATTGCTTATATTTATTTATTTAAACTCATTCACTAAAAATAATTAAAAAGTATATTTTAAATACTTATATGCACCAAACTTTAAATCTATCACATGACATTTTCAAATTTTCTACGGAAATAGTTACAACATACATTTGTGAAATCAAAGGATATCAAACACATAGAAGTGTCAAAATCAATATTTATTCGATGCATAATAGTACAAAGCGAACTGACAGGCAGACGGGCAAATATGATAGGATCTGAATATGTATTGCCGGATTGACGTAAATTTAGGAACTGCACATGGTGTAGTAAAATTGCATTTCGGCTTAAATTAATATCAGCCACATCTACATGTACATATGTATGTACATGTGGAAAGCATACTGAGGACCTCATTAGGTTGATAGATTCAAGAATGGGTCCAGTGTTGAAGTGAGCGTGTGTGTGCGTTGGCAGGCGCGACGAACGGCCGCTCAGGGCGCACTCGACCCATCAACCCTTCCTACAGCGAGGACTCAGTGGCCGAGACGGCGCTCTCCAAGAAAAACTCCGACGGTAAGAGCTAAAGTGGCAAATAGTTGTCTTTCCATGTAAAAAGAAACCTCTTCGTCTAACGACATTCTCTCACTTTCGCTTCGAGTAGTGATTACTATAAATACGATTACATGTTAAAAGCTAAGCAAAGTTACTGTAGCAATCATATTTCATTTATATAATAGGCACTTTTCTTCTGGTCACCTATTTGTTATATGACTAAAATGTTCACTAATCTATGTAATGTACCTATTGTAATTATTTCAATAACCCGAGTGGGTTAATAAATAAATGTTTAATTTATAATTTTAGTTTAGCGTCATAAAAACCTTTCTCAAGCTATTTATGTGTCATTAGAATGTAATAATTGTTCTTTCTTCAGTCCTAAAGCGAAATGCTCGATGTTAACAATCATTACGATGATGGAAACAGCTATGGACTAGAAATACCTTGTCAATAAATACGTTATTGCCCTGTGTAACTAATTAATAAGTATTCAAATACCGGTTGCAGTATACAAGAATACTATTGTTGATTAGCATGGCTGATCATTTAGTTGCATGACTTTGATTAATTACTATTAACATTTCTATTTTAAAATGAAATCTTAATTACAAAATCAGTTAAATTCCAAAAGACAATATTATGTACGTATAATAAAATATTAAAATAATTATATTCTTGGTAATATAAACAAGTGCTAATCGGATTTACGAGTATGCACTAACGATTCTATCTAGCAAGCTCCGTCTCACAAGAAAAATTATCTCTCCCCAGTGAAATAATTATCTCATTATTGTCAATTACATAAATGGGCTTTACTTAAATTACTTTAATTTTGTTTCAAGTGGTTACCCACTAAGGGTAATAGAAGAACAAAAACGCACCATAACATTGTTGGCTAGTTGCAATAAAAGTCTGCAACAGACAACATAAAACCTAAAACAGAACACTTGTAATAAACAGCTCACGCCACATTACTGATTACGCAGGTACAACGTAATCGATATGCATACAGTAATTACTTGTATGCCCCTTCCTAAAGAATATAAGGCAATGTTGTAAAAGTAAATATTTTATTAAAAAGCCCGCCTGCCTTTCGCCTTAGCTAATCATATAATTCAGTTGTTTGCTCCAAATTCGTTTGTTTCTTTAATAAAAATGGTATTCTTTATAAATTTTTAAGTATTTATTTCATGAAATTATTTCGATGAAATTAGAAATTCTTTATTAACAGCCTTTTTTATCTATTGAACGCTACATTTTTCATCATCTCTCATTTTACAATGTCGATAATAAATACCCTTGTTCTACTGTTGCCTGTTACTAAAATAAATATCCGTGTCATTTATATACCAAAAATATCTACATGGCTTTGAAATGAATGACAGCTTGGCGTAGTGAAAAGAAATATTTATGAAAACATTGCTGGCAAAACAGTTAGCTTATCTGTACTGTATTTGTTATATTTGATCATCGACACGTTTGTAATGGTAATTTTTAAAATATACTAATTTACCATAATTATGTACACTGTATACAGGATGTAAATAATACTTGAAACGTAACTTTTCCATTCCTACTATTTTGATTTGACAATGAATGAATTATATTTATTGTATCGTTTTTTATAAGAATACCTACGAAAAAAATAAATTGCTTCTATTAATCAAGGCAATGTTTAATAAAGAAAAATATTTTTTATGGTTTCAAGATAACTAAAAAGGTTCTTTAATCTAAAAGATTTCTTCAAACATTACTACAATACCCAAATTAAATTAAATTTTAAAAATTTACCTTCTTACTTTTACTTTATTATTTACTTAGCAAAAAACTAAGAATACTAAAACTTCGTATAAGTATATAATTTATATATCTATATATCATTAATATATAAAAATATATCAATGATATCTAATTAAAAAGTTAATTAAATGACGAATTGAGCTAGTTTTGTTAAAGTAACCTACTTAGACATTTTAATTTAAAAATTCTTTCATTGTAAATTAATATAAATAAGTAGACTACCTACCTAATCGCATAAAACCTTATTTATATTTTTTATGATTGATAAATGTTTTTCAAAACACAATGAATTGTGTATGCGAGGCTTAACATTTGAATGAGAATATTAAAAGTACTGTTATTTTAATCTTTACAATAAAAAAATTGTGTAGTGCTAATAATGCTATAAAGTTATTCGAGTTGAGTAAAGTTTTAACGAACATCTATAATACAAGAGTCCACAGCCACCCGGCCCGCGCCTTCCGCGCTGCTACGTCCCAAGTCCATTATCTTGTTTCAGAAGTTTAATTGAATATTACGTTTTGATGCAGACGAGGACGAGGAGCCACGTTGCGTCACGTTGACACCGCGTCACAAGTCTGCAATAAGATTTATCAGAAAGGTAAGTTATCAAAACTTGCTACTTTTTTATATAAATATTTTTAAGAATAAGTATATTGTTATATATTATAAATATATATTCCAAATTGATAATTCCGAAAATATCAAAGTCTAGCGTATAATAGAGATCTACTCATTAAAAATAATTACCGGCAAATATAGGTATAATGTAAGAATGTTATTATTTCCCACTATGCAACGGAACTTATAACAAATAATTTTATAGCGACGACAAATATGTACGTTACACATTTCATAGGTATAATTATTCATTTATCAATTGTCGTTGAAAAATGCTATCAGAAGCCAATTAGTAAATATTTTCATGACTCTATTTATTACTATTCTGCCGTGTATTGACTTAATTAGGTACTGTAATATTTTTTAGTCTTGCCTATGTAACTAACTATAATTACATATGTCTCGTTAAATGTACTTACACTGAGTATTTCCAAAAAAATTATTGAAAATAAATAGTATTGTTATTATCAACAATTTGATTAAGGTGTTATATATTTGACTGAAAGTAAGTTTCAGTAACAGAGTGTATTAAGGAATAAAAAATATTATTTATTCAAATAGTGCATTTAATGTTTCGTACGTAATTGTTTCGCACAATATCCGTAACTCCAGTAAAATTCAAAATTAAAAACGGGGGATCTGGAATAAAAAGAACCCAGTTCACCTCCTGACCTTTACATAATTGATGAGATGGGTGAAGAAGCAAAGTGAAGTAGTCTTTGAGTCTCACTGAATTATTTAGCTGTTTACAATGTCCAAACTTTGTAGTTTAACCCAGGTTTTCTTTGCTTGCACTGTTCCCATTATGTGATAGCTTTCATATATTCCTATACACCTCACCCTGCGGGCAGACTCGTTACCGTTTCTATTAGCGTGAGGCCGTATGTGCGCCAGATGTTATAATTAACAGATTCGTATAAACAATCTTGTAGTTTTAAGACATAGCCAATATATTATCACTTAAAATTGATCAAATTCAATTTGTTTTTGCATAAGATGAGATTGCATTAAGATTATACATAAGGATCATAAAATGTTAAGGTACATTGTTTAACTAAAACTACACTAAACAAAAATACTTTTAAATAGATATTAGATTTATATAATTTGTAATATAAATAAAGTATTGAATTTCGCTAAATATTACTTTTTTTAAATACATAATATGCTGGTTTGCAATAATGGCGTAGATATTAGCTTTTATATTATGTACATATAATAGTACCTACCTATTTCGAAAAATCTGCAGATAACAGTTCGATAATTCCAAAGAACAAATTACGATTGTATGTTTTACTGCGAGTTTTAAGTATGTATCTTGTGGAATTCTAACAGATGAAGTATTTTGTGGCTCGCCGTAAATTTAAGGAAGCATTAAAGCCTTACGACGTAAAGGATGTAATCGAACAATATTCCGCGGGACACGTCGATCTGCTGGGGCGAGTGAAAAACGTCCAGACTAGGTAGTACACTTAAGGGTTGCCAATTCTAGATCTGTACCTATAATCGACTAATCAATAAATCTGAAGTACACATAACTTGTAAGATTTCTTACTGTAGATATATATTATTATATTTTTTAAAAGATAGTTATTGATTTTAAAGATTTGTTATTTGTACAGATTTAGTACTGAACCCCTATCTGAACACTGTCCAACAAACCCTATGCGACTTTGCACTTCGATTTATCTACTACTATTTAATATCTTTTAACCTCTTCTTGTCTGGACTGTACACCTGTCTCGTATCTTCTGTAGAGGAATTTTATTAAATTCTGATACAATACCTATACGTAGGGTGTTCAATAAGTATTGTCGTGTAATCTTAAATAAATATATTTTTAAAGTAACATTCTTGACTATTAATACATTTCATTATTCATCATACAATTTAACCAATCATCAATCTAGTCCTCCCACTTTTATCTATGAAATAACTCTAATTGGTCTTCGAACGCGAATATCAGCTGCTTCTCGATTTAGAAATTGCGATGTTTTATGTGAGTTTTGTCATAAGAGAATAAACCGAAGTCTCAGAGAGCAAAGTCATGGCTGTAAGGAGGATGCTCCAACACCTTATTGACCGCCGCCGTTAAATTAAATAGTCCCTGGTAGCGACAGCGCTATGAGCTTTATCAGGTGCTTTGTCGTGATGCAGGAACCAGGAACTGAGTTTCAAGTATGACCTACGGTTCGCCAATTCCTTAAACAACTCCAATGACAGATTTAAGTATACCGTGAATACGTAACGTCTTCTTTCCAACAAGCACTACATTGACTATACCTTGCTTAGTAAAGAAAACTGCCATCCTTCTTTTGTCAACAGATTTCGACTTTCACGTTTGAGTTGGTTGTTTCTCATTATCAAATACCCATATCATTGTATTTTGGTAGGTACATCGTAATAATATATCTAAGTTTCGTTGCCAGTCACAATTAAAACTGTATCTTTAGATTTGCCATTGGCAATTTTTTTTTACATTAATTAGCACTATTCGACGCGACATTGTGTTTAGCTTATGAGGTACCAAAAGCGTACAAAACTTCCTACATATAATTGTTCTGTCAAAATCTTGTGTAAGATTGCTAGGAATATTCAATAACTCCTTTAATATCCCGCAGGTTGTATGCCTGTTTTCTCGTATTGATTTCGCCAAACAAGCTATCATTTCTGGCACTGTCCTACCTGACCTGTCCTTCAAAAAGTCCTACCAGGCCGAGGATCATCGTCCAGTCCAAATTCACCTCGCTCGAATTGCAGATACCAGCGTCCTATAATCTTCAAGGATGGTGCTTCTTGACCAAATATAGAAATCGAAATCCAGAGACATTCTTGTTTGTTTAAACTACTTTTTAAATTGTAGTACAGAATTACGCAACAATCAAGTTTCGTCAAGACGCCATAACGAAATTAATAAAAAAATACTACAACAATTTATTCTTTTAAGAGTAAAATAACAAACTGGTAATGTTTTGTTGATAATGATACTTAATAAACTAATAAACAGCTATGGAGGTTAGAGGTAAGGAGGAGTCTATATGGGAAACAAGTTGAAAAAGTGTCCACCTGTATCTATGCTAAAAATAGGTATGAAGACTACGATATGAATTTAGCTTAGTTAAAGATGGAGTGCAGGGTGCTGAGTTCAAAAATTTAAAATTTTTCATGACTAAAGTGGTTAATGAAATACCAGTATAAAAAACTCAACTATTTACGTAGTCTAAAATAATTTAGTAAATATAACATTGTTTATTTATCCACTTTACTCTAATTACTTTTGGCGTTTCCTTTAAAATTAACCCTACGCTATTGCAGCGCCACCCTTATTGGACGCGTTTTGACGGACACTTATTCATACACAATGACTCCTTACCTCTACGCTTCATATACTCGTTAAAAACAATATTAGTTTCATTGCTACCCTCAAAAATAAATGTTACGAGAAGACTTATTGAACAACCTAGGTGTTTTCAAGTAGCTCGATTGACGTAGTGAGTGTGATGGCGTTATTAAAAAAATATATAAAAATATTTATAGTTAAAAAACACCGCTGAAAATCTTCTTTAAAATGCATTTACATTTTATATTTTTTATATTTTTTTATCGAACAATGAAAATTTTCAGTGGCGGCATTAAATAGTAATTCGTGTTTGTATTAAAACTATTTTAAAAGTATGTCACCTAAAGATAGTGAACATCTCTGTAATAACAGTTATTCGTTACTTCCATCGTATTCACTATTTACAAACGCATGAATTTATTAGGGTTAAAAAATATACCTAATTAATAAATACATAAAATGTATTGAATAATATTATTAGTCTATAAATATCATTTACCCAGTACGTTTCTACGTTTTAAGTAGGCACAAACATCATGTACTTCTAAGACTATAGTTATTTCAACCCAAAATTAATGTATATATTAAAAGACCTAATAAGGCCGCATAAAGAAGAACGACGGAGCTATCTAAATGTAAAAGTATATAGCTAATTATTTGTAGACGATTCTGTTTGTTTTTAAGCAGGTACTTTTGACGCAAAAGTCAAATTTTTACGTCAGGAATATAGTAACTATATCCGTATTTAGGATGCCTTCCAACGATTAAATTCGATATGAGGATTTTTTATTCCTGTATAGCTCAAGTATTTTGTCGCACGCAAGAGATTTAGAGAAGCCTTGAAACCGTACGACGTGAAAGATGTGATAGAACAGTACTCTTCGGGGCACGCTGACCTCCTAAACCGAACCAAGAACCTACAGTACAGGTGAGATGAGAGAAAATTGTTGCATACAATAAAATGTGCGATGATAGTGACTTGTGAGCTATCAAATGTCCGTTTCCGTAACAGATTCATTATATTCTATTAAAAATGAATATCCAAAAAACAATTTATAAAAAATTGTAAAAAGTCCGAGGGACCTTATTCTCTACTCTAATTATTCTTTATTTGTCTGTTATAACGTATCAATTCAACCTGCTTTTTTAATTTTATATTCAAACAGAATATTTTATGAAATTCTATGAAACTCAGTTATATATACACTTTAAAACTCCTACAACGTACTTATTAAAGAGGATAACTTTAAAATAATAAGTACATGTCAGATTTAACTATGAATTGAATAAAAGTTTTGTTTGTTCCTACTTATTGTTAAAATAGTATATTGCAATAAAAAATAAGGTATATCTTTTGTAGAGCATAATTTTTTTTAACTTGTCTATTTAAAATAGTTTGGCTTATTTTGTGGCACAGCTTTCTTTACAAACACGAGTTAACTAAGTACATAATATATTTTTTTTCATTATTTATTAAATCTCGCTTTGCTTGACACCTCTTTGCATGAATCAAATATTTAATGTTATTTTAAAATATTTTATATTCGTAATAAAATAGTTTGTGTAAGATGCGTAAAAATATAGCATATTTCTTTTTTAAATGTGACATTATTATTATTTATTTGATAATTATTTAAGTTAAATTAAGTTTGACGAGGGCTTCAAATTAAATCAATGATCGTATTAAGGATTACTCAGGATTAACTTGAATCGTGGAGTCGTTTCAACTTCTATTCAAGTGGCATTCAATCCTAAAATGTATTTCAAGATTTGTAGCTCTTGTTATTGTTTTCGTATTAGAATGAAATCCGCTTTCCAAAGAGCTCTTGTTTTGTGGTTAGTTTTGGCGTACAAATGTAAACAAAATGTTATTATTGCTCATGTTTTCACGACTACTCAATCTTGTTCAGTTTTCATTATTATAGCATTTATAGCAAATGAAAGGTATTTCATATCTATAAATACATACATATAGGAACATCGTCTTACTAATATAAAAATTTACAGGTTAGATCAAATTCTTGGCAAGCAAGGTTCAAAGGCTAAAGATGTGTATGCATCTAAGATTAGCCTAGCTTCCAGAGTAGTTAAAATTGAAAGACAAGTAAGTGAAACCTAAGGCAGTCCAAAAAAAATTTTTGTTTGTATAATAATAATAATAATTTATACAAAAAATTCAAATGATTTACAATTATTACAGATAATATTACGAAACAAATATAAAAAAAATGAGTGCGTGTAACCTTTAGGCACGGTTGAAGTAAAACTTCTTTGGTGCTGTGGCAAATATCGCAATTAAATTATTATATATATATAATATTTTTATAAAATTATCTATATATAAAAAAATGAACCCCTATTTCTACTGGTCACGCTATAACTTGAGAACAGCTTTACCGATTTCATTCATCTTTTTTTTAAATGTTTTCTAATACTTCGTGGAAGATTCTTACATTAAAATTTTTTAAGAAAATTGCTCATAAACTTCGAAAATGAGGATGAAAGTTTGTATTGGGAAGCAAGCTAGGGACAAACCCGAGCGAACCGAGGGTGAGTCGCTAGTTAATAATAAATATTATTTTTTTATAAGAAATAATAATTATAAAATTATTAATAATAAATATATATATATATATATATATATATATATATATATATATATATTTATAAATAATAACTATTTATTATTATAAAAATATAAACATAATATATATTTTTTTAATTTTTAATAATACTCTCACTTCCGCGACACTCATTTATCCAACGCATAGATAAGTATTACTAATAGGATCCAATGTATTGACTTACCTATCAGTCACGTCTAAAGAAATTTTACTTCAAAATCTAAGTAAATCTTTTACTGAACTCTAATAATAATAAATAATAAAATACTTCTTAAATGTCTTAACTAAATAACAAAGATCTAATATTTCAGGTAGATGATATAGAAAGTAAGCTGGATCATTTATTAGAATTGTACGAAGAAGATAGACGTTGCATGCGAAGAATCGATAATGGGTTTAACGGAGGAACAGAAAGCGGAGCATCAGGAACTATTCAGCTAAGAGCACGTCCGGCTTTAACTGAAAAACAGTGCTCTGAACCGAATTCGCCCGTTTCTAGAAACTTTGAACAGCCAACTCCTGCGTCAGCACCTCCTATACCGTTAAAAAGGCCTATGAATAGAGGTTACTCAGATTTAGGAACTAGGTTCATGAGAAAGAAAGTTATAGTCAAGTAAGAATCTGCAAAATTAATATTAATTATTTAAAAGTAAATCGATTTAAAAAAATCGATTAAAATTTTAAAATTCTTATCATATCGTACCCTACTATACAGTAGTGGACATAAAATGGTCATAATATATTTATAATCATGATATTTAAATCACAAACTTAAATCACTAAAACAAAATATTATTTTCAGAACCTCCTCTAGCCGTTGTGATGAGTCTCCTAGAGACGATGAAGTCGTTATAGTGGTACCGACAGATCGCGAAGATACACCACCACGCTTAGTGACAGACAGCTCAGGTATATAAATCATTTGATTTTTATTTTTTAATCATAGACGAATGTTTCTTTTTTTTATTTAAGTGCTTTTTTTTAAGTGCTGTAATTATGCTGTGTTACTGTAATTTATAAAATTTCATATAAATTAACGATAGCTTTCCACGATGGCATTAACAGTTGTAGCTAACTGATCAAAAAGCTTAAATTAATAAGTATGTTCACTTTGTATTAATTGTATAAAATACGTTATCTAATATTTTGATGATTTTTTACAGATGTTTAAAGTATTGTAAGCATAACGACCATTGAACATTAAAGGGATATACGTTCATTTTTTAATTCATCATCTTTTTATTTATCAAGTAGAGTTCCACATTATGCTCATTTTTCATGAGGTTATATTAAAATTCATGAAGCAGCCCGTACTATTCATTACGGCATATGTTTGGAACATCCGTATAGAGGCAGATAAATTGACGCTATTCATGTGAAAATATTTATGTCGTACCTATCGTATTTACATACTTAAATTATTTCATACAAACAAAATAAAAACAAATCTATCCCTCGGGAACCGTATATTATTCCGGGATAAGAAATAGCCTATGGGTTATTCCAGACTATAATCTACCTCTGTGCCAAATTTCATCCAGATCCGTTCAGCTGTTCTGGCGTGAAAGAGTAACAAACATCCATACATACTCACAAACTTTCACATTTATACAGATTTCACTAAAGCATTGCAACTACTATACATGATACAAGACACTTCTACCCAACCACAACTTTCCGCACCCTTTTAACATTAAAATGTAAAATATGAAAGGTCTATTGAAATCTATCCATATCTATTCAAAACATTCGTAATAAAAAAATCATAATCGACATTGCATCTTCAGAATAAAAACAGATCGTTATTGCGCTTTATAGAAACATCAGACGTGGATCGATATATTTGTCTAATGTTAAGATATAATAATTTAGTTAATAAATGAGAAAAACTAATTTAACCAATTAAACGTCATTGCCATAGGTATAAATATGCGAATATTACAAAATTGCAGCATCTTATGAAGACTATTCATCGTCGACTTCTCTCTGACCGACAACTTGGGACAGCCCTATTCTTATCGGCCGCCGCCGGCTGCGTGAGTCCTGATACATCCCGTTTTGATGTGTGGAATGTACTCGTATTATAGTATCTCTATGCCCTGCGTCCTCCCTCTTGCTCCTGTCTCATGAATGCTCGTAATGATGGTGTCGTATTTAGATTTATCGTATTCCGCATTTTGTCTTTTATTGATATTTTTGTATGACTTATTTTATAATATTTCTCTAATTGTAAACATTTCGATTTAATATGTTAGAATTACGTGGGAAACCCACAGTTTTAAATAGCTGAACATGATATCATAATTTTCCTGGATCCAAATTGATGTTAGTTTTGTAGTGCGTACCTTACAGTGCATACAACGAACAGTGGTACTTTATCACTTTTATTTTAAGTACTTTATGATGACGTTTGATTTATTTTTAATTTTGGCATGATTTATACTAAAAGTAGACATGAGTGATAAAGATTAAAATTAAAAAAAAAAAACAATAAAATTATTCTTCTATAAAAACATTATTCTATTAAAATATTGCTAACCGGTGAAAAAACTCACTCATTTAATTTTTATACAGGTAATTTGCATGCTCACGGTAATTTTTGTTTCATTTTTATGTACCATTTATACAAACCTACTAACTAACGACAGATGTGGACTAAGTTTGTGGGAAACGTTAAAAACATCAAGAAGGATTAGAAAGAAAAACAGACTGATTTATAAAGAAATAAAAATTAATAATTAATTTGTAATGATCCTCTTAAATATATGTTTTGTTTCCCTTAATATTGGTCAATGAAACTTCTTTTTAGTGGAATTAATTAAGGTATTCTTAAAAAGTGATTTAATCATTATTCATAAAATAGGTGTTTATATTTTTTTATAAACGTATCAAATGTATATTAGTGAAAATGAGTAGTAAATCAGTTTTTATGATAACATATGATTTACAGAGGTATGTGCGAGCTGTTCAGTAGAGGTAGAGACAGAGGCGGAGGCGTGCGGCACCCGGTCGGGCAGCTCGGGGTCGCCCTCGTGGTGCGAAGGCGAAGCAGGGGACGAGCGCGGGTACTGCTCGGGCGACTCACTCGCCGAAGACGCAGCACTTCTAGGCGCCGCGCAAACCGACCAACCCCCGCGAATATTGCGTCCCCAGAGACGAGATGTCGCCGTCGATCTTCACTTACTCCGGCCCGATGTATGAACCCCGCGAACAGAACTAAACTTCAGATAAGAGAGACGATATACGAATACCTAATAGTGTTGTCCCGCCATATCACAACGATCGCACAAAATCTACGCTGTCATCATACTACAAATTTGTTTTTGTCTTTGTGTTTAAATGTTCCCATGAGAATAAAAGAGTCTGGTGCAGTGCGACTGTATAATGAATTGTACAACGATATAGATACTGTGGTAAGATTAAGCTATCATTTCCGCTCGTTTAAGGTATTGAATAAAGACCAAAGACTCGATGTAGACATGGTAAATAAGTAATAATAATAATTAAAGTATTTTTAATAGTAAAAACGCTTAAAATGCCCTATTGCTTATAAATAGCTTATAATACCTGTAGATGGAGGCTTTTAACTCTAAAAAAATATATTTAAGTTGTAAATAACTTACACGGCTGCTATAGATATATGACGCTAATCGTTTTCTAAATCACAGTCATGTTCAAATGTTCTTGTTGCATATTCAAAACCCTACTTAATTCTTTAACGTTATCCATTTTTTATAGATTTATTCTTTTAAGTCATTTTTACTTACTTAATTATCTTAAGTTATAAAAAGGAAAACATTCCTTATAATCGGTGCACAAAACATTGGAACACTTTAAAAATTACGGTTATACGGTCTATTTATTTTTAATGACACAACACAAATTCATTCATATTAACAAATAAACTGTGATACGATTTCAGTTATTAGTTTGATCACATCTCTAAGTAGCTCGTATAATAAAATCGTATTACAAAGTCTGGGCTAAGTCCGGAATGAATATTTATAGGCATACTGACTACTATGGCAACAATCGTGCTACCTTATATTTATTATTAATATATTATATATGAATTAGTCAAATTCTTTAATTTGATATATTCGCATCTATTTTGTAGTCTACCACAATTAGTTTTCTATGCTCCTCACCACATAGTTGAAAAAAAATCTCTGTAAAAATCTGCATCATTATTATTTTACAAAAAAACTTATATACTTACTACTTAGATAGTATAGACAGAAAATCGGTTTCGAAGAAACAGTAAGATACAATATTTTTTGCAATAAATACTTACACCATTATTTTAACACCTTTCATAATAATATAATGTACCAACCCGTACATTTATTTAAATAAATTTGTAATAATCGTTCTACTAGGAAAAAGAAAATAAGAATTAAGAGCAAAATAAGAACTTCGCATATAGATAGAAAACAATGCGAATCGATAGAAGACATTGATTTGGAAATAATATTGACATCATGATAATATCATCATATATTTAAAATTTAATATTACAAAAAATTAAACAATAATTACGATATCAATCACTGTAAAGTAAAACTTTGCCATTATATAAATATTTTAAGACATTAATTTGACAATGCAGATTTTTAATAGACGACTTTAAATAGTTTCTCAAAAATTCTTATCATCCATCTATTGTAGACGGTTTTGGACACATTTCTTAAAAAAGCAGGGTAAACATTTGCCTGACATTCAAAATAATAGTTATTATAAGTAAGTAATCTATGTATAAGTGAAAGATACAAGCGTCACAACACGCAGCCAGTTTTACTCTGGTCAACGTATCTTAAACTTTAAGGCTTTTGCCTAGTTCAGAAATCAACGGCTATAATGGGACCTAGATAAGCCTGTACTATATAATTTGAATAATGCTAGATGTGCAGAAAAAAAAATCTGGAGAAAAACTGCACCTGCAACGTCTTGTATAATGGTCCAATATTACCTTTATATTATAAAGCATAGATAGTTTCTTCTTCATCTTTAATATATGTACCTATTTATTATTTTATTAGAATACTTTCTATGTAGTCAACATTTTATATAATATGTAGATATCTGTCAAAATCCTTTGAATATAACTTTATAACATTTTAAAAATAATTCTTATAGAGGGATACCGCAATACTTACTGACAAATAATTTTCCTACCTAGTCTTGATAAGCACTATTCTTCGAAAATATATGAGAAGCCTGTACTCCTATCTACACATTTATTTTTGTGACCAAGTATATTATGATAATGAAACACTAATATACACAGATTCCACATTTAGAATAAATGTCCATATTAACTAACACAATTATCTACCTCTGGACGAAAGGAGGGATTGGTTTAACAGCTTATTGTATCGGCCTTACTGTCAGAAGGAACAACGATATGTAGAGCATGACATCGAAATTTGTCTAAATTACTAAATTTAGTTATATTTTATATCTTTTCATATATATAAAATATCTTCCCAGTACGATATGGTTTATCAAAGTACACAAACGCGAAATGTTGATACATGCTTTATTTAACGTAACTATTACACTAGTACTGTGCTATTACTTATTTTGATATATTATTAACCCGTTAAAGAACTCTCAGAACCTAGAACTCAAGGTTTTAGTCAAAGTTTACTGAGATAAAAATTATTTTTAACCTGGCTCTTTCCACAATAAGCAAACTCTATATTGCATAACGATGTAGAGCAAGATTGAATTTATTCTATGAGCAGGAAACTTCGCCCAACTACTATGTGCACAATGTGATTTGATCTATACCAAAAAAAAACAATTATTTTATTTCTAGTTATAACATATTATATTCAATTTTTAACCTCGCTTATTATAAAAATATTATAGATTTATGGCCTTATTTACATATTATATGTAAAAACTTCCAATCGATATTTTGTTCGTGTGTTATTTCTTAAGCAGCTTGAAAACTATTTAGTCTGGTTCCTCACAATAACAAGAAAATGGATGCCTATGTAGACAAAACTTGTACAATAAAATTTACAAATCTAAGTAATAACGTATTATATAAATTTATATTGAGACATGCATAGCATAGTAGAAAATTTTTAAACTGTTATTTGTTTATAAATACATTTATGTACAAGTACTTAAATCACTGGCCTATTAGCATCTTGAATGTACCCTGTATAAACTGACCAAAATTGTAAAGCCTTATTACTTTAGCACGTAGTGAAAACATCACTGTCTTAAAATTACCTTCCTGCTGTAAATAATAAACATTTGTAAAAAATAGGTTTTACGAATGGGTTTACGAACTTTTTAAAGTCTATGGTTTAACTGCTTTACAAAGTAAGACAACTACCTATAATTAATAGTGCATACATATATATCTTTTGTTTATAAAGCTATGTTATAATTTATTTAAATTTTATTTGTGATGTTAATTATTATTGATCATTGTTATTTAGTTAAGCATTTTATTAGTTTTAAAATTTGGAATTGTTATATATTCAGTATATTAAAATAAATTTATTAATAGTCTCTAAAGTTTATTCGTGTGATTGGTACCTGTATTTAGAAAAATAATAATATTAATAAATATTTGAAAGGGTGAAGGTAAGAAATCAATTGAACATTTTTCGAGTTCCGTACCTCAAAAGGAAAAAGATCCCTTATAGGATCACTTTGTGGCTCGTCCGTCTGTTTTACTCCAATTGTTAATTAAACAAAAAAATAATGTTATTTCATTATTATATTATCTTCTCCAGGTGAAGAAATTGTTATACCTATTTTAAAACTCGGCAAAGACCTCAAAGAACTCTTGTCTTACCGCCCTATAGCTTTATCATCAACTTTGGGCAAAGTTATAGAGCATTTTATTAATAGGCTGGACTGGATAATGGAAAGCAGAGAAATCCTCTCAAAGACACAATTTGGTTTTCGAATGGGCATGAGTTGTACTCAGTCTTAGTATACTTATATCGGAAATACGACTAAGTTCCTTAAGAGGAGAATCCTTGTGAGGGTCTTTTTGGACGTTAGCTCAGCTTATGATTGCGTACTTCTTCCCCTTCTAAAATCTAAAATGCTTTACTTAGATTTACCGCTAAAATTAGCTAATTTTATTTTTAATCTTTTTAATGGAAGATCGATCCGAGTGAGACATCAGAGTGAACTTCTCCTCCCTAGAACAATTTGGAAGGGTCTTCCACAACAAGGTTCAGTCCTTTAGTCCTATTTTGTATAGCTTTTACACTTATGATCTTGAAAATCTGTTGCTAGATTTTGTAATATTTTGCAATATGCGGATGATATTGTTTTATTTTATAGCTCAAAGAATATGACCGAAGTTGTATCTAGATTAAACTCTGCTTTGTATTATCTGGGAGAGTGGCTGCAGTCACATGGTTTATTTTTGTCAGTTCCGAAAAGTAGTGTACTGTGTAATTGTTTTTACTAAGAAGAGGCAAATTCCATAAGTTAACATTTTATATAAGGAACAAAACATTCCTGTTCTAAATTCTGTAAAATGTTTAGGTATTTTTCTAGACAAACGGTATGTGAAAACAAAAATTAGAAAAAAGGCCACTCTGAGGGACCAGCCCTGTTTTCCAATGACAAAACCAACCAACCACAGCAATGCTACGCACAATCGAGCACTTTAAGGCCCTGTCCACACTGCGATATTTCACCGCACGTTTTTATTCTCGCAATTCTGTAACACATTAAATCTCATAGGAGTATCCGCACTGGCGGTTAAAAATTCACGCGGAAAAAAGATCTGTGATTTGATGCAAATTGAACTCGAGTTCAACTCGAGTTACGTAACTCGAGTTAACTGGATGAAAAATGAAGTGAATGATTTGTTTTGTTTGTACCAATTTAATGACTCGGCTTCGCAGCAATATTAAAAAAATGGTACAGATTCTAAATAAATATTTATTGGGACAATTATAATTATTTATATTTTTTATATTTATTTATTTATATTATTACAAGCAGAACCCGCGCCTTCGCTCGCGCTAAAACTCAAAAAAAAACACTCTAAAAAGGTAGGTTTCATACGAAATTTCATCCGCCATTTTACCCCTTAACGGGATAAATTTCGAAGAATACTAAAACATATATTTATTTAATTGTATTGAAGAACGGTAATACCAAGTTTCAAGTAATTCTGATCATAATTTTTTTTTTGGGTTGTATTATAACGTATTTCCCCGTGGAAATGAGATAATCTTCCGCGGTAAAAAGTAGTCTATACCACTCTCCAGCCCTCCAACTATGAACTATCTTCACCCAAGAAATTACCCCAGTTCGTTACTCCGTTTCGACGTGAAAGAAGGACAAACAAACAAACATACTTTCACATTTATAATATTAGTATGGATATTATAACGCTTTCATTCGGTTGAAACGCTATAACAGGAGTACGGACGACAGCGATTAAGTTAAATACTGTGGCATCTTATTCGGTTGTAATAGGAGCGATTTTGCAACATAAATGTATAGTCTGAAGTGCTGACGACTGTACAAAACATGAACACAACGAACGAAACGCCGCGTTTGCGTAAGGTCAATCGCGTACTCGCTTGATTCGTTCATTTACCAGTACCACGCAAATCCAATTCGAGTCAGAGAGAATTCAACTCGAGTTAAGCCCAACTCGAGTTAGTAACTCGAGCTGACACATCTTTAGTCGGGCTATGGCAATATCGATTATCGAGCAGCATCACTAATATGAACTATGAATCCTGTCAAGTGTCATCTGTGGTTGGTATTTTTCATGGGTGACAAATAAAGTTCTTTTTTAATTCAATATCTATATTTTTAATAATAAAAGATTTCAGAATTATAAAATTTTATTAATTTTATAATTATCACAGCGTAAAGTTTTTAATAAATAATGCCTGGTCCATATGAAGAGGAACGTGTTTGGGAAGGATCAAATCACGCACAGTACGAGGTAATTTACCATAAATATAAATAAACAACCTAATGATAATGTTTTTATTTTTATTTGCAAACATAATCATTTGTTATTACACAATTTATTAAATAGGATGAAGGGACGGAGGACGTTATTGATAATCCAGAAGAAGTATTACAAGAATGCCTTGAGAAATTTAAAACTCCTGACTATATCATGGAACCCGGCATTTTTGGTCAGCTAAAAAGATATTTTCAAGCTGGAGGAAATCCAGAACAAGTAATTGAGCAACTCTCAATTAATTACAATGCTGTTGCACAAATGGCGAATTTACTTGCTGAATGGCTTATTCTTGGAGGTACTTCAGAGATTCTTACTTACATAAATAGTAAATACTAAAATAATTAATTGATTATCTTGAAAATACTTAATATTATTATCTATTATTAATATAATAATGCTATCGAATTTTATATGCATGTTTTTGGTTCATTTCACATAAGACATGACTGTTTTAAAAGATTTTTATTTGGGTAATTTCTTATATTCATACATGGACAAAGACAAAGGTAAGTAACTATTATTCATATTAGTAAATTTATACTTATCTGATTGGATTTGTCGTTACTTTTAATATAATATTATCTGTATTATTGAAATATCGTTTTAATAAGTAGTAATCTAAAATATTTACATTTATTCTAAATATTTCAAATTTCATAACTAACTTATATTAAATTATATAACTATGAAAATTATTCCATTCTAAAACACACTTAATAAACGTGTATTATTTTTCTCTGAAGGAGTTAAAGTAACTGAAGTACAAGCTATGGTTGAAAATCATTTAAAGGACATGATATTAAAAACATTTGATCCAAAAAAAGCTGACACAATTTTCACAGAAGAAGGTGAAGTAAGTAAACATGTAGACTGCATGTCATTATACAAATATGTTGAGACATTAACACACAGCACCATCTAGTTCCATTGTAAACTATGAAGCTTGTGTTATAACTTATGGATACCAGATAATTGATACTCTACACATATATAACTTTTTAAATACATACATATTAAAAATATAAAAACCCATGACTGGAGTACAAATATTAGTGCTCATCACACAAATGAATGCGAGATTCGAACCCATGACTGTTGGAACAACAAATAGAGTCAATACAAACTGAGCCGAATGTATAATTATTATTTATATAAATAAATGTATCTTTATAATATTTACTTGTTTTAGACACCCGCTTGGCTTACAGAGATGATTGAGCATCCAACATGGAGATCTTTAATATACAAATTAGCAGAGGAATATCCTGACTGCCTCATGTTAAATTTTACTATTAAGGTACTATTTGTGACTTAACAAATAAACCACCTTTAATAGTTTAATTTCTTAGAAAATATGTATTTGCAGTTAATATCTGATGCTGGGTTTCAAGGAGAAATAACAAGTATATCAACAGCAGCACAACAAATTGAAGTATTCTCTAGAGTTCTAAAATCTGCAATTGTGGGATTCTTACAAAGCTCAGACGATTGGCAAAATAGTGTAACAGAATGTGCTGTAAGTGTTCTAAATATATTAACCCTGGATGGGATACTAGATTTACACACATGTTAGATAAAATCATTTATTAATAAATTAATATGATTTAATTGCAATAGGGTAATATGCGTGTGATGTAAATAAAGGAGAAATATTTTTTTTAAATCTTTATTGCTTATGAATTAAGCCATATCAATAGTTTTTTATGTAATTTCTTATTGATTAATAAAATAATTATTAAAAGTGCAAATATAGGTGGGAAATTCAAAGTAGTTAAAACAACGCCATTGGTCAGACAGAATGTGACGTCATAGTTTATAATAACAGAGCCAGTGTTACCAATTTGGCGATTTTGTCGCTGAAAATTGCTTGCAAAAGTCGTCATTTTTAGTGACAAAATTTAAGAATAAATTTATTCTAAATTTTAGTTTTTAGAGCTAAATATTATTTTCAATTATACAGGATGGATTTTTGAGATGGGACAGTAAGGACAAGTACCTTAACTGCTATAGTTACTGGAAAATGTTTCTAGGAGACCATCTATAAATTTTTGAGATATTATGAACTGCATTCACAGATTTTGGAAATATGTACAGTTAGCGAAAAAAATGCTGAAATACCAAAAAAAATTTTTTTATGTCAATCAATCATATTTCATGTAGGGATCAAAAAACTGTATGGGACCATTTAATTTTTATATGGAAAAACGATTAATCAACTCGAAATATTCTTTGTTTTCCTGTAACTATAGCATGTATAACGATGTAAGCTATTGTAAAAATAATTTAAAAAAATACGCATATTATTCCCGATTACAATATTTTTATTTATTTATTTCCTAGAAAATGGTTTGTCACGGTGCACACACTTATGTGTATAGCCAAGTGATAGTTCATATACTATCTCAAGAGCCTAGAGGTGGAGCAATTATGAAGAGACTTAGTCAAGAAATTACCCGATGTGCCCAACAAAGGTATGAAAAATTAAAATGGCTTTTACACTATATGTTTAATGAGCAAAATTGTAAAACCTTCAGCTTGTATTTAATTGATTCGTTGACAAGTCTATTAACTTTTTTAGCCGACTTACAAATAGGAGAAGATTCAGTTGGTATTTTTAAACTATGTATAAGTTTATTTTCTACAACAGTGGCCACGATGTGACTCCGATCACACTAGCTCTAACTCCCGGCGAGTCCTGGCGCAGCGCGCGCACCGCGTTGGCCGCCATGCTGTCCAGAGGAGCTCTGAACCCTGCCGATATATCATTACTGTTCCGTGCCTACACCCAGCCTGAACCACCACCGGTCCACTTTCTGAGAATACCACATTTTCTAGGTACCTCTATAAATGAAATAATCAAAAACACCAAAATTTAATTAAAAAAATGTTTTACGAAAATTGTGGAGATGTAAGATCTAAAGATTTGTTTATAGAATATTCAACTATCTCTTTTATACTGCCACGTTGGGTTAATCGTGGGTGGTTAACATCTACGGCTGCAAATTGTGAAGTCCGTGGTTCGAGTTTCGGGTTGGACCAAAATCAAAATAGTTTTGGGTTTTATTGTCACGATTTACTCAATAGCAAAACGAAGTTAGGAAGTCGAAAGTGTGAACACCCACGGGCCTCAGAGAACACGGTCTTGGGCCTTATATTTCACCGGTCGTGTCGAGTTGATATCAAATCGGAATAAAAAAACTATTAAGCTCGCAGGGCAGCTATAACACAGCAACACCCTAGAGTTTTGGGATATAGAGGATTAGATGCATTTACGGTTGTATCGCGAGTGTTGTATGCGGTCCGGGTAAAGAAATTATGATGTTATTTTATTATTTATTGTTTTACTACATTTTGTATACTATCGACTCACCCTCGCTTAGGGTTCATCCCTAGACAAAAAACAAATCTATCCCACGGGAACCGTGTATTTTCTGAATAAAAGTAATCTATGTACTATTCCAGACTATAATCTATCTCTGTGCCAAATTTCATCCAGATCCGTTTAGCCGCTCTGGCGTGAAAGAGTAACAAACATCCATCTATCCTTACAAACTTTCACATTTATAATATTAATAAGTATAGCTTAGTATGGATTACTAACAAAATTCTAACTTAAAAAAAATACAACTCAAGTGTTCCGATGTTATCGATCTTATTTACTTTTTCTTTTGTCTTAATCATACATCAAATTACCTAGTTTTATTATTCATTTCAGAACTTCTCGTAGATTCCCTGTTTAAGTTAGGCAGTAAATTAAACCCAGAGCACAAATCCAAATATATGTACTTATTGGCGTACGCCGCGAGCGTCTGTGAGGGCGTGACTCCCGGGCGGCCGGTGAAGGACGAGTTGAAGGCCACAGTGCAAGCTATTGAGAAAATACATGCCGTATGCAGCAGTTCTGCCAGCTCTAGTGAACTGATCGCGGAGTTACCCTCCTTGTATCATTGTATAAGGTTTGTATTTTAATTTAGTTTTAATTCTGTATCATCCATGATATGTTTATAAATAAAAATAATTTATCCATTTACTTTTGGACAGTGGTAGCCAAGTGGTAACGTGCTCACTTGGGAAACCGAGTGAAGTGGGTTCAAATCGGGTCTCGCAAGTCTTATATTTTCATGTGTGAATAACTTTCAACATGATTACCACTTGTCTTAATGGTGAAAGAAAATATCTTGAGCCTGCATGTCTGAAAGAACCTAGCAAATATTCAAAAGACTTGTGTAGTCCTTAAACCCGCACTTAAGCAGCGTGATGGACTATGGCCTTATCCCATAGAAATCGTATTGAAAGCTGGAGGCCCTTGTCCAACAGTAGGACGTTAAAAAGGGTTGAATACAATACTCTTACTTACTTCACAAAGTTACATAATATATACAAGATACCCAAACTTACATAATCTATTCTAATATTATAAAGAGATGGAGTTTGTCCGTTTCTTTATTTGAAAAATTCTTTTTTCATTACATAGCCCGTATATTAATCATCATGCTACTACCCAAGGGAGCGGTAATCATAAATGTCAACAAATCTGGCCGAATTCCATACATTATTGTAAAACTGATGTTTATATCGGAAGTTTAAACGAGGGCGAAGCCGCGGGTACTGCCAGTTATGAATAAATCCTTAAATCATAAATTAAGTCAATTAAATTTAAGTAAATGATGAACGGTTAAATTACATCAGATAATTAAGTTAACATAAACTCCTATATCATTAATCTGTGCTTTTACTGGCACACGTTGAAGCCATTAACAACAAAATTAAATTAAATAAATAATTTCTAGAATCGTAGTTAATAGAGATTGTTTCCAAACAAACATATAAACAGACATACAAACTAATTTCTCTCCATATTTATAAGCCATGTACAATATATTAAAAATGTATGTGAAAATTAATTCAACAATTTTTTACAGGTTTCCAGTTGTCGGTATGGGTGTGTTAGTGTGGGTGGAATGTGTGGTGACAGAAAAATCATATTTTAAGTTGTGTATTGAACATTGTCCTGTTCACTTGGCTTTACTTGACGAAGTGGCCTCCTGCCACCCTCTTCTACACCACAGACTTCTAAAGTTATTGGTTCAACTCTTTGAATCTCCTCAAGATGAATTAGAAATTTTAGTACAGGTAAAGACTAGAATTTGATCAATAAATCGAAAGTATGTAAATATGTTGGGACATAAATAAATGTATGTACTTATAATTTATAAATTATAATACCACTAGCGACTGACCCTCGCTTTGCTCGGGTTTGTTAGGTTAATCCCCCATACAAACTTTCATCCCCATTTTCACACCCTTAAGGTATGATTTCCGGAATAAAAACTATCCTATGTCCTTCCCAGGGTCACAAACTATCTTCTTACCAAATTTCTTCTAAATTGGTTCAGCAGTTTCAGAGAGCATTCGGCTCAAACAAACAAACAATCAAGTCTTTCCTCTTTATAAGTAGAAATTTATATGTGCATAAGTATAAAAATATCGTGTACTTTGATTACAGTTAGAATTAAAGAAAATGCTTCTTGATCGTATGGTTAATTTACTAAGTCGTGGGTGCGTCGTGCCCGTCCTACAATATATAAAACAGTGCGTGAAAAGTGGCGACGTGGACATATCGCTTATTAGATACTTTATTACCGAGGTATGCTTTTAATTCTAAAGTGAATAAATTTGTTACATCTTCATTCGATGGCGCATCATATTTGAGTGAAATTTGGAATAGAGACAGCTTACATTTCAAGCTTACATTAGTATACATAAATCATGTACATATCAAACATGTAACAAAACTTTTAGGTACTAGATGCCATAGCTCCCCCATATACCCCAGAGTTTGTTCAATTGGTCTTACCCATGGTGGAAAATGAAGAAATCACTGGAACCATGAGAGCAGAGGGTGAAAATGATCCAGTGTCAGAGTTTATAGGTAACTAGATCTAGAATATACCATAATAGTTTAACCAACAGTTTTTAGTTTTCTGGTCATTTCTTTGAGAAAGGTGTTAAAAAAATATATTCTGCTTTTGTTTCAGTTCACTGCAAAGCACATTATGTTGTTGTATAGAAGAAAAAAGTCTGCTCTAGTTTTTTTTAAATACAATAAAATATTATGAATTAAGAATTAACTGTAAATAAAGCAAATAAATTCCATATACTAGTTTAAAAATGTATTTATTTAAATAATTACCTAATGTTATTTATATTGATAAGACACTGCAATGTTATTGAAAAATGAAAACGTTTGCTATATATCTATAGTACCATGCAGGATTTATAAACAAAAAATTTATGCACTCCTTGCAGCTTTTCTTTCATAATATCTTTTCAAAGCTTGCTCAAAAACTTCTCCTACAGTCCTCTTTTTCCAAATATCAACTTTGACTTTTGGCTTTTCTTGTATTTTTATAGGTGACTCTTGTTTTATAGGTTCATTGTTAGCCTCACTTATCTTTATTTCCACTTTATCAGACATATCTGGTGTTTTAGGTTCTTTATTTTTATCATTTGATTCTTCATCACTGGACTCATCAATAGAAAAGTCAGAATCAGCATCAATATTACAGGCTTTTGATTTTTTAAATGTTTTTATTTCATCTAAATTTGAAAAATTTATTTCATCATCAGAATCCTCTATTTCACCTTCAGACAAATTGTTATCCTTTGAAGCTTTTCTTTTCCTATAATTTCTTTGTTTTGTTTGTGTCAGTGATTTTTCTTTTTTAGTTTCCTCAAATTCTAATATTTGTTTATCTTTTTTTGTACATTCTACAATAGTTTCTTGCTTAGCCTCTGCACTTTCATCACATTTTTCCTTATTATTCTCATTCGAGTCACTTAATTTATCAGAACCCAATTTTTGTTCATACAAGTGTCTATAAAACCCACCTGTGAAATAATGAATTTATGCCATAATCATACTTATATAAATATTTATTTAAAAAAATGAATGTGAAATGAAAACAAACCTAAATCATTCTGTCGAGTTACATCACCAATACTCTCTAAATAGTCTTGATATTTTTCCTTTTCTTCCTCTATATGCATTTCTTCCAGTTTCTTTTTATAAGCTGAAGTGACAAAAACTTCCTTATCTGCAAATTCATCTCCTTCCTTTTCTCTCTCCTTTTGAATCTAATGGCAAATACAATATTATGTATACACAAAATACATTTTGTAAAATCTACATTAAATCCATACACATAATAAAATTGTAACTAAGCCGAATCTGATATTTAATTTTATTGAAATAGACATTATTAGCATATACAGAGGCCGAATCTATATTTTTTAGAATTTATGAAAACCACTGGACCGATTTTAAAGAATTTGGTATGATGATAGCTGGTTATCCCATCAACATTATATAGGATATTTTTTACTACATAAAAATATTTCATCTTTGAGCTTTACTTAAAAATATATATAAAAAAAACCATTGAAACAATGCACATAAAACTTTAAATAATCCTACATTACAGTTTTAACTTTTAAGTTATTTAGCTGTTTTTAGTAACTGTTGTACTTATCTATATTTAATATACCTGGCGCTCTACACGGCGTTCATTTTCCAATTTCCTTTTATTTGCAGTTTTTAATAAATTTTCTATATATTTTGGTTTTTTTTCTTGTGAGCTTTTAATTTTTTTTATTTCCTTTTCTTTAACCATCGAATCATATACTTCATCATATTGGTATACAGTAGGATCTTCCATTACAGCTTTTTCTTGAGAAATTTTTGACTGCAAAAAAAAGTGTTATATTCTTGGCGCAGATTAGTCAAGTTATAAATATTTTAAAATTAAAAATATTCTTAGTACCTGTCTATTAGTTTTAGAATTAGGTTGTAACAAAATAGATTTTCTTCCTGCATCATTGTCAGATTCTGAATCGCTCCCAAAGACATTATGGGAAGCTTGGAATGTTAATTGCGTTTTTGATTTTTCACGTACGATAAGACCGTATCTAAAAAGTAACAAAATGATTTTTTAAAAGTCTTTATGAAAAACAAAATTTTCTTTTTTTTATGTTGGGACATTACCACACAGCACCATCTAGTTCCATGGTAAGCTACGAGGCCTGTGTTATGGATACCAGATAGTTGATACACTACACTTATACGTATAAACTCTAAATACATACACATTATAAATATAAACACCCATGACTAGAGTACAAACATTCGTGCTCATCACACAAATGAATGCCCCCAGCGGGACTCGAACACGCGACCGCTGGCACAGTAAGTAGGGTCACTACAAACTGAGCCAAACGTATCGTCGAAATTAATTTTTTTTTATAAGAACTTACTTCTTTTCTTTCGACATGATAGTTGTTTGTTTAGGTACTTAATTATAACTTTTTATATTTTTCATTTTACAACAATAGCTGTATGGTTTACTTTCAATGCCAAATACGAATTAAATTAAAAAAGATTCAAGCAAAAATACAATAAATATTTTTATGTGTCAGATGATGATCAGATCATGATGACAAATAAAAGCACAGAGTACATTGGTATATATAAAAGTCACAACTGACAACTCACAAGTAGTAGTTAGGTAGCATAGATAAAAATTATACCCAGACCCAGTTCAACTGCCATTTATTATAGAGTTGTAACATTGTAACCCTTTTCATCTATATCTATCTGTCAAAGCATAGACAAATCACAAAAGTGTAAAACCATAGAACATTATTTTTTACTGTTAACGTTTAAACGTGCGATTGTCCGAAAACAAGAGCTTTTCGTTCAATATAGTGTTTGTTTACCATTTCGGACACGTAAGGAAAAATAGACTATACAATATACTGAGGAATATAGTTATCGCGACATCTGGCGGGAAAAAATGGCAAAGTTCTTCCTATTACTGCGTTAACTCTTTAGTCTGTGGATTCGCAATTCGCAAATTTTAACGACAATTAACTGTCAAAATAATAAAATTCATATTTATTTATTTTTGATAAAATAAGATTTGTTGCAAATAATTAAAATAATTATAGTTTTCTATGAAGCAGTTATCATACGAATAAAAAAATAAATAAATACAAGCTTTTGTCTTCCTGCAAGCTATGGATTTTGTGAAGATACCAAACAGTGCTTTAGCTTTTTATGCAAAAATATATTGCAAAAAAAAACGTATATCTAAAGCAAAGGTATGATCCACTGTTAGTGTACTTTAACATTAAAATGCTAGGCTGCCTTTGCTTAGCATATGCTCAATCAAAAAAATATTAGCAATTAAAATCACAACTTTTCCATATATTACTATGACTTTATCAGTCATTCTCACTCCTAAATTATAAATAGGTATCTTACATAAACAATCATTTTTAGGTTAATTTTAATAAAAATATTTTACATATATATCTTATCCTATTTTTATGCCAAAAATACCCATTTTACAATTACAATCAACCAATCTTAGTGATTGGTAACTCTCTGATAATTTGTTAACATTTAGTTCGATAAAAATATATTAAACCATGTAAACACTCATTTTAGCCTGTAAATAAATAATAACTTACCTAGTAAATAGAAAGTTTTTTAATTTGTGCATAACTTATTATTTTTAAGTTAACAACTTCCCCCTCTTTAAAGATCTGTATGTTTGTATTATTATTCCAATTTTTAGAGTACCAGGGTATTAATTGAAGCCACAAAATCTTGGTTGTCATTAAATAAAGCTGAGAAGCAAAAAATTGTATCCAAATATCAAGAATATAAAAATTATTACAGAAAAGCCTTTGCTGAACACCTAAAGAAAGCTGAACCGTACTTAAAAAAGAAGCTTAATAAAGAGGAATTTATAAGAAATAAGTATATATATATATTTTTACATTATCTCAATAAAATTTATTAACTTGCTATAATATGTGCCATGAAATATAACCTTACACATATTTGTGATAAATATCTAGTCTAGTAAATACTTAAAAAACATTTTTTGTTGAGTAGACCTTATTGTCCAACAATATCAAAAAAAAAACATAACTTTATGTGTTAACAACTCACCATAAATATAATTTTATATTTTTTTCAGTGTACAAATAGATAGCAACTCTACTATCCATAAAGATGAAATTATAAATTTAAATACGGATCAACCTCAAGAATTTAATTATGAATTATCAAGTGAAAATGCTAATAATATTGTAAAATCACCTTTACCTCTACAAAATAATACAGAAAACGTATCACTGTAAGTATTTTTTTTTTTTTTTTAATGCAATTTTGAATTTACCATACACTTTTTATTCATTTATGCAAACAAAAAATAAGACAATAATGATGATAGTGTCCAGTTGTGAAACATTAAGTAAGGTGATATGTATTTGCAAGAGATTATGAATTACTAATATAAATATTACTGCCATACATAATAATATGACAGATACAATTTTATACATTAATATTATTAATAAATACTTTTTGGATTACATCCTTTTTATTTATTATTTGAAAATGCAATATTTTATTTCAAAATTATAGATCTTCAATTAATGGTTATGGTGTTGATGATATGCAACATCATGTTGATCAAGTTTTAGAACCAGCTCCTCCAAAACTCATGTAAGTTTTTTACTATGTAGGTATTATAGTTTTAAACAAATATGGTGTTAAATCTTGATGGATAATTATGGACATATTTTTCAGGACAGGAAAGGAATTGTTCGATATGATTAATGAAAATCATGATAACTCTTGGAAAAACTTGACAGTTAAAGAAAAATGTAGATATTCAAATGCCGTTCTTACAATAAAAAAAAATTACCTCAAAGAATATAAGAACTATTTAGAGCAATTGTCATCAGAGAAATTATATCATCATTACCATAAAAGCATAATTAAAATATAGTGCTGTAATATCAAAAAATGATTGTACCTACATCGATGTTTTAAGAAAATAAAGTGTGTAGTTTAAATAATACAATTTTTATCATTAATCCATTTATTGTACTTGTAACAAGGACTTTTTAATAAATTCCATATGATTATATTTTGTAATAAATAGAAAATAAATGTACGATAAGTTTTTTAACATTTAATATTTATTGAGTTAAATAATTTTGTTGTAAACAATTAAGAATTTTAACAATTTCTAACACAATTCTACAGATAAGTGAATACTATGAGATTTTTTCCTAAAGACTATTAATTTAATATTAACCAAGTTTATTTTCCACAAATAAGACCTACAGCCATACCAGCAACAAAAGATGCCAAAAATACATGAGTTTCTGTAGCACGGTAATGTTCATCTGCAATAAAATTACCATACCAACGCTTTGCTTTGTATTCCTTTTTTTTCAGCAGTTCTTCAGCTTTATCTAACTTACGATCAACAAATCTTTCCACCTTAAACAAAATTTAAACATGATAAATAATTATTGTAACTGTACATAGTGTTTGCATAACTACAGCATTTGTAGTTGTTATCATAGTAGTCTGAGTAGTAATATCAGACCTCACTATTAAGAATTGGTAATGCAACCTATGGATCTATATAATTTATTGTTTTTGAACAATTTGTTTTTGTAGTATAATATGCTACAGGTATTTGCCACATCAGTACTAAACATAGTAATAATATGTTACACTTCTATATAGAAATTTAGTAGTAAAAAAAGATTTATAAATAGGTAACAAAAGAATTATATTATTATACATACTTCAATAAATATTTAACTGTATTGTTATAGTCAAAAATTAACACTATGTTCATTCATTCAATTTGTCAAAAATGTACTATTGATATTGTTTTTTAAGTTATTAATAACTATATTATACTTACATATTTAACTTTTATTTATATTAATCATTCTATTTATTTTAAATGGTATGGTAACGTAAAGCTAAAACATAAAGGACAAATCACTTCTGTATTTGACCTAGTTGTAATTTAGTAATGTGTTACAAAAAAAACTCACTTATAATATTATTAACTATATATTAAAATTAGGATGAAGCTATGCCAAAAAAGAAGCCTCCTGTAAATCCAGCTGAATAATATGAATTATCTTTGACAAATAATAAAACCTGGAACAAAAATGTTTGTTTGAAAATTGTGCATCACATTGAGGTATTCTTAACCCAAAATTTGTAGTACTTACTAGTAAAGTAAGAGGCTTAAGACTAATATGAGGAAACGATTTGGTACAAGATTTGATTGGTCAAATACAGATGTGAAGCAAATATTTCAATACAAAAGATTCAATACTTACCTTATCAAACCAATCAGGAGATTTACCAGTTGTTTCCTTCTCAATTTTATCAGTAATTTTATCTACCTTCTTATTGATTTTATCCCAGTTAATATCAATATAGCCTTTCTGACTAGCAATATGTAATAAAATCACACCACTTCCAATGCCTACAGCTGCAAGTTTCCCAATTTTCATAGTAATGAAGCCAGTAATCCTAAAATCAATAAATTTATGAAAATGCCACAGTAATTTAAGAAGTTATTAAATATTGTAACTTTTTGCAATATATTTAAATTTTAACTATTATACTTTCTTGATTTAAGGGTAAAAAATATCCTCTGTAAGTCCAGGGCATTGTCTATCTATGACATTATTTGAAATCTATTCAATGATTTATACATGATTAGATTCATATTTATGATATTATAAATTGATAAATTATTTTCCTTTATTTATAGATCGTTTCATTGTTACCCACAACAAGCTACTAGATACAGCTTAAACATAAAATTTTGCAAAAAAAAATCAATATTTGTAATATAAAAGCAGGTGATGCTGATGACTAATAATGCAACAATAACATACCATCCTGACGCAGTACCTAAAATTAGCTGCTTCGTTGCAGAAGTTTTTCCAATATCTGCAATAGCTTTCTCGATAAAGTTTCTCGCATCATCTACAATTTTTTTCGCTTCTTCAGATGTATCATCCTTCTTGGGTTTAGCCATATTTCCTGTAAAAGATTTAACGATCGTGTTCAATAGAATTCTACGCGTAATGAGTATCCAGTAAAGTAAACTAAAACAACAGTCAACAAAGGTGGATACAGATTACAGATTATGAAGAAAAACTAGGTGAAGAAAAATGTGGAAATAAAATATAGAACACAGATAATAGATTTTGAAGTTTGAACTTAATAGGTACCTATGCATTAATTTAATATTGTATTGTAGATATAATTATTATTATTATACCTATTACACAATAACTGAAAATGAACTTTATCGTACCTATATTATGTGACTCCTTAATCTATGAAATGATATGAATGAATGATGAATGAACTGAATACAATAGTGTCATAGATTATGTAACGCGTTTTAAATACAGGCAAAGCCAAAATATACTCTATATATCTAAGAATAATCCTGCACATACTGACGTCTAAAGGTGGAACTCGGTCCACACCATGGATGACAAATAAAAGTCCACACAAATTTAGCGAAAAATACCAAGTTAACGAAAGTGTCTTTGAAAGGAGAGACTTTTTTCGGTTTGCGCTTACTCATGTCTCATACTTTATAGTCTCGGTATGTTAGCACTTTGCAAGTTCACTACGTTTTAACCGACTTCCGAAAAAGAAGAGGTTGTATGTTCCTCTATAGAGACTTTTTTCAAATCTGAATCTACCCTAAGAATGGTGAAGTAATAGCTAAGGTTACTTGAAAAGAGGGCGCTACACGTATGATCTATTTAAATTCTGTCTGAAGTAAAGCAATTTATTATGATATCTCTTTTGTACCTACCCTACCCCAGCCTGCAAATTTATGATATTTGCAATGAAAAAAATACTAATCGATAGATTTTCAATAGCTCAATTTAACTACGTAGCCCTTTCAAATTGCTCACCTTTAATTATTTAATTAAAAATCAATAGTCTTTGAAAAAAAATTAATTTATCTGTATATTCAAACTCTTATATCTTTTGATGTATACAATATTTCAAATTGCTCAAAGTTCTAAAACACTGCTCAAGTTGCATTTATAATTGCTCAAGTAGAGTTTTTACCAGCTCCACTTTCGCTGATTATTAAATAATTAAAAGTATAGTTGTAATAAATGTAACGTAGGTTAAGTGAGCGTGCGCATGCGCACCGCGCATTGTCGGTCGGCCTCGGCGGGCTTGGACAATCGTTCCAATTCAACGTCTTAATTCTGTTTCTCGGTGGATTTCTTTAAATTTATTGAATTTATGAATTGTTCACATTACGTGATTCCACTTCAGATATTATAACATAAAGAACAGATCTGGAATCTACCAATAAATGAAAATTAATACCAACAGCCTATCTATACGTTAAATTTATTCAAACTATTTATATTTATTTAATAATTAAGGAAAGTGGAGCTGGTGAGAACTCTACTTGAGCAATTACAAATGCAACTTGAGCAGTATTTTAGAACTTTGAGCAATTTAAAATATTGTATATATCAAAAGATATAGAAATTTGAATATACGGATAAATTATTTTTTTTTCAAGGACTTTATTGATTTTTAATTTTATAATTAATGGTGAGCAATTTGGAAGGGCTACGTAGTTGAATTGAGCTATTAAAAATCTATCGATTAGTATTTTTTTCATTGCGAATATCATAAATTTGCAGGCTGGGGTAGGGTAGGTCTCTTTTGTACCTGGTTTTTTGCTTCTATTGTGTTTGCTTATTACCTGTGCAAGGTATTGTACCTGGAAGTTAGACTCGCTGAAAAAAGAATTGAGAAGGAAAGGTGCATCATGTGTTGGCCCTGACTGACTGATGGATCAACACACAGCCTAAACATATAAGCATTTTTCAAAATTCAATTCCTTAAGGGGATAAAATGGGGGATGAAAGTTTGTATGTAATAAATATGTAAAAAAGTACAAAAAATACAAATAAAAATATTCACCTGCACACCATCAAAAAGTTTAAATCACATTTCTGTATCATGATGTCCACATAGCCTTAAATATAAAGATTACATGAGTTTGCCTATTTTGATCATCTTATTGCTTTAGCCCATAATTTCTTCAGTTTTGCCTTTTGGGATCAAATGATATCCATTTTCTCAGCATCCTTTTTTTTATCCGTGGGGAAACCGCTTTACGGATGCCCGAGCGCAAGGGGCGCGCAGGATATGTGGGACTCCTGTCGCGAAAAGCGCGACAGAGACAGACTATCACAATGGCACAAGCTATACAGAGATGCTACGAATTAGACTACACACTAAAACCACCACGGTGATCCACAGGGCCACGGGATGCTTGCGCATTCGACCGCAAATTTTCTCTGCATCTTGGCACAGCACAATTTGTCATTTTAATTACATTTTAGCTTAACAATATACTGTTTAATGATAGTGATCGCGACATTTGGCGGTTGAAAAAGGCAAAATTATTCCCCATTTATTGTCAGGGATTAAGGAATAGAATATTTAGTAAACTAGCATTGCCCGCGGCTCCACCCGCGTTCAGATGACCAAAATCCAAATTCTTAGGTTTTACATATTAATAAACTCTTACATTGCAGTTTTTGTACTTTTTCTCAGAAATGAGATGTTTTGCCGTGGTAAAAAGTATTCTATATGTTGACCCGGAATCAGCTATCATCAAAATCCCTCCAGTAGTTTTTCCGTGATACGGTAACAAACAGACAGACAGACAAAAATTCTAAAAACTATAGATTCGGCCTCTGTATCGATAATAATGTCTATTTGAATAAGATTTTCCAAAAAATATTTAATGTACAGTTGTTTAATGTACAGTAGCTTAGTTACAATTTTATTATATGTATAGATAGATTCCACGCCATTACAAAAAAAGTCAACAGTAATGTTATACTTCAATCTTCATACATATGTAAACTGTCAGTCTGATGTCACAAAATATATAATGTCAATTGTCAAAATCTGTATCAAAACTAATTAATTGTTTATATTTAAATTTGATTTTTTATACATTTAATTAAATTATTAAAATGCGTACAATTAAGTGGCTTATTTATTAAGGTTTTTTTTTAAAAGAAATGCAAGCAAAAAAACGCTACTTTTTCCTTATTCTATCATGTTTTTTTATAATATATTGTTTTATCACTGGGTATAGTCTAAAAAATGATAAAGCACAAAAGTCACGAATAGACCAGTTGCCCTCGTTTGCAACATTCGATGAATTGAATGAATCACCATCTCGACAGAAAAGAAATCCTCAGACAAATAAAAGATCATGTCGAATGCAAACATGTTTTGATTTTTCTAACTGTGGAAGTGATCCAAAAGTTTATGTATATCCTACCGATGGGCCAGTTAGTGCTACTTATCGTAAAGTTCTGTCAGTCGTACGTGAATCAAGATATGCAACACATGATCCGACTGAAGCTTGTCTCTTTATACCAGCAGTAGACACATTAGATGCAGATCCTTTATCTCCTGAACACATTTCAGATGTTGGTTCCAGACTATCACATCTTCCATATTGGAAAAATGGTAGAAACCATTTAATTTTTAATTTATATGCTGGAACTTGGCCTGATTATGCAGAGGGGGCATTAGGTTTTGACCCAGGAGAAGCTATAATTGCTAGAGCAAGTGCATCTGAAAGTATTTTCCGAGATGGTTTTGATATTTCACTTCCTTTATTTCATAAAGAACATCCAGAGCGCGGAGGTATCCCTCCTGCAGCAACAGGCAATCCTTTTCCAGCACCTCGTAAACATTTACTGGCTTTCAAAGGAAAACGCTATGTGCATGGTATTGGTAGTGAAACTAGAAATTCTTTATGGCATTTACATGATGGAAATAATCTGATATTAGTTACGACCTGTAGACATGGTAAATCTTGGAAGGATTTGAGGGATGAGAGATGTGATGAGGATAACAAAGAATATGATAAGTAAGACTAGTTTCTAAAAATTATACTTACTTTACAAATGTCTAACTCTTATGTTTTTATAAAAAATTAGATGATTCTTCTATAACACTAGCATTTCCCGGGGCTCCGCCCGCGTTCAGGTTACCAAAAACCAAATTCTTAGGTTTTACATACATATTAGTATACTCTTACAATGGAGCTTTTGTATTTTTTCACAGAAATGAAATATTTTTTTATATTGATAAGAAACTTTTGGAATACAGTTGATAATAGTATTAGAATAATTATGATATTTTTTGTATGCTTAATGTTACAAAAATGATAGCGTAAAGTTGTATTGTAAAGCTTATATTTTTTGTTATAGATTTGATTATGAGCAACTTTTGGCAAACTCAACTTTTTGTCTTGTTGCTCGAGGGAGACGTCTTGGATCCTATCGTTTCTTAGAGGCCTTAGCTGCTGGCTGTGTCCCAGTGTTGCTCAGTAATGGCTGGAGATTACCTTTTGATGAAAGAATAGACTGGCGCCGTGCAGTAATATGGGCTGATGAAAGGCTTTTACTACAGGTTTATAAATATAGTCTAATTTTTTACTGAATACTTCAGAAAATATGTTGCTTTTGTGATATATATATATATATATATATATATATATATATATATATATATATATATATATATATATATAATATAATGTTTAAATTTTATATTAAATTTTTAGGTTCCAGAACTAGTACGATCTGTTCCTCCTGAGCGTGTTCTTGCTTTGAGGCAACAGACTCAGCTGTTGTGGGAACAATATTTTTCATCAATTGAGAAGATAGTTTTTACAACAATTGAGGTATACTTATATTTCTATGTTGTGTTTTGACGAATTTAAGTGATGATGCATTAAACAGTATTATATGATTACTATTAACTTACTAGACTTGACGTATATAACGTGAATGTTGTGAATACTAAATGTTAAATGTTTGTGTCATTCTGTTATAGATTTAGGACTAAGTAATTGAAAACTATCTTAAAACATCTGTTATTACTGCACTTTGAATTATATAACCTATTGCAGATAATACTCGAGCGCATCACGGCTCACAGATCATCTCGGCAACGTGAAGCGCTCATATGGAATGCATCCCCGGGTGCTTTGGGGACACTCGCCTCGTACGGCGACTCGCGCGCCCACCTGCCCGTGGCCGCGCCGGCGCCGCCCGCGCCGCCCGCGCCCCCGCGCCGCCCCCCGTCCCTCTGCCCGCGCCCTCCATCCCCCTCACCGCCCCTCCTCCCACACCGGGAGATAAGTTCACAGCTCTGTTATACGTACAGGCGACATCACCGGGGTTACACAAACTTCTCGCAAATATAGCTAGTAGTCAATTTTGTGAAAAGGTTATTTTTTTACTTGGTTTAAATTAAAATGATTTGTAGAAATATGTGTGGAGTCTATGACTGAATTAGCTTACTATAAACTCTTGACTTCATAAGCATAAAAATTAAAACTTTATTTACTGACACTAAAAGTAAGAAAAACATTTTCAATAGATAAGATGATTATAAAAGACGATGTTGTTTCGTTAGGTCGTATTGGTGTGGGATAGCGAGCGCGCTGCGCCGTCCTTGAAGTCGCTCGCAAGGATAGCTGGAGATCAACGAGACCCTCTTCCGGTGATGGTGATAGATGCAACCACTCACTATCCAGGGTATATCGGGATTATAATTTATAATAGTTTATTTTGTTTATTTTTGTTTATAAATATTACATTTATATACAACACTCACAATACTCGTATCATTAAAACAGGGAAGGAGTATCGGCGCGTTGGCAGCCATTGTGGGCTATCCCTACAGCAGCGGTGTTTTCCTTAGACGGCGACGCGCCCCTGCTAGCAGAAGAGTTGGATTTCGCTTTCCGAGTGTGGCAACATTTCCCCGAACGAATTGTCGGTTATCCAGCACGTAACCATTTCTGGGATGAATCTAAGGTTTCTTTTTAATTTTATTATTATTTATTAGTACTTATTAGTTTAATGAAAAATGTTGATACTTTTTCAAAAACGTAAAGTATTTGTAATATAGTTTTAAAAAAATGAGTAAATAAATGTGAAAGAAAGTCAAGTTCATAACAAAAAATCTTGCGGAACAAGTACGAGGATGACGGATTCGCTAATAAAATAAGTAAAATCTAACTGGATAGTAGATCTTCCGATGTTCTTTGATTCATAGCACCTGTTAAGCACTATTATTCAGTTGCTTCAAAAGAAAATTTATTAATATTCTGTGTTATTTAAATGCACGCAAGTTGGCAAGTTTTCTTATTATCAAATTGCTATAATTTAAATTGGACTTATCAAATATGCTATTTGACTGGTTTCTCGGCAACATATCAGATTATTTAGTGGTGTTTATTGAGCTCACAAATAGTGTAATTTGAAATCTTCATTTTTTCAAAAATATAGCAATTTAAAATGTTCATATTCTGTACATAGTTTATACTACTTACATGTTGTTTATTTCCATGTTACTTCATGGTACACTCGGCCACTCTTTCTCACTTTTACACACTGTCAATACCCTATCGCATAGAGCGCGTGGGGGTACAGCAGCAAGTGGGGGGGCTCCTACTCGATGGTGCTGCCGAGCGCGGCGCTGGCGCACCGCGCGCTGCTGGCGCAGTACGCGGCCGCGGCGCCGGCGCTGCGCCTGGCGGTGCGGCGCGCGCGCAACTGCGAGGACATCCTGCTCAACTGCGTGGCGGCGCACCTGGCGCGCCGCCCGCCGCTCAAGCTCGCGCAGCGCCGCCGCTACAAGCCGCAGCACCACAGGTACGCAGTCTATGCTATGTCGCAATCGATTTTACCTATCTATACTTCACGATTAGGATTCTTCTTTAAAAAGAACTTTAATATAGTAGTAGAAGAAGAATTATATTTAATTTAATATTTTTTATATATATCTTATTTTGTAACTTACGAGATTGTGCTTGTGCGTTAAAATAATATTAATGATTATATAAATTATAAAACAAAAGTAACACACAAATTTGGTACAAATACCAACTGTGGTATTGAAAATTTCTACTACCTTCCTTTATAGAAAAACAGCTAAAATGTATCAAATAATTGAGCTGGCATGCTTTGAAGCCATTAACAAGAAAATTGAATCAATAATTGTATAGTCGACCAGTTTTGAGGAATAAAGGTGTTAAATCGATACTACAATTAGTAATGGGTGTAAATAAAATTCCAAGATTTGATTAAATAGTGAATTACATGTTGGTCACAGATCTTCATGGAGCGACCCGGAACATTTTGTCCAGCGACAGTCGTGCCTCAACACGTTCGCGGCGGCGTGGGGCTACATGCCGCTGGTGCGCTCCGTGCTACGCCTCGACCCCGTTTTATTTAAAGATCCAGTCTCTACTCTAAGAAAAAAATATAGAAAAATGGAATTAGTTACGTCGTAATGTTATATAAAGCTATGATTTACTGATATTTATTTATTTAGTCCGACTTTATTGTACACTGATACATATAGTATCAAAATACTTTATTACCATAATTAGATTTAAATATAGATAATATTATAGTATCAAACAATAAAGTCAAGGTATAATGCACTATAAGACTTCTTTTCCCAAATTGCTAGTCTACTGCTGAGTATTACATTAATAAAGGCTCATATTATACAGCTTATTCACTTTGTTTTATTAACCAAACTTCCAAAAACGAGGAGGTTCTCAATTCGACGGAATCTTTTTTTTATGTATGTTAACCGATTACTCGAAGACGCCTGAACCGATTTAGATTTTTTTTTCGTTTGAAAAGGTATACTTCCCAGGTGGTCCCATACAAATTTTATCGAAATCGGTCGTGCGATTTTTTTAGCAAATCCAAAACGACATTTTACTCAGTGTCGCGTGCGTGTATGTGTATTGTGTTTCAAACACTAACACAGTTGAATGGACAGGAGAGTGCCCACTGACCATAGACATTTTGGCCCTGCTTGTACACATACAAAAGTGCATGGAAATGATAATATGCATTATAAACAATCAAGTGGACAAGAAATTCATTTAAAAAGCGGGCAAGTACGTGTCGGGCCACGCGCGATATTGACTATGAGCACGACAGTAGCGCCACCTAGAAGGCGTATCTATCACGGACTGTCTTATAATAACCCATAAATGTTTTATTGTTGTCTAATAATTATAGTAATTAAAAGAATTTGTTTAAAAGAGTGCATAACAGAATGGACATTATTATAAAAAAATTATGAGGGTTTTGAAAAAAATTACCATAATTGATGTTTGCAGCCATAATACCATTACCACCATACTATAATTTATGTTTCAAACTGTGATAAAAGGAAAACAAAATAGTTTAGCACAGCATGTAAGTAATATTGAAGAAATGCGAAATAATGGCAATAGTCATTTAATACGAGCCCACATTATTCGTCAGACATCGGTGAAACTAACCCCCTTTAAAACAAGTTTAAACATTAGTACTCTTATAACATGAAACGTAATGAAGCATATTTAATTTAGTATTTTACAGTAGGTAAAGTACTTGTATTATTGCGACTGTCTACACTGAAAATAATAAAGACCATTATTAATATCACATAAAATATAGCGCAAATAAAATTGATTTATTGATATCGTAATTTTAGATTATATCGCTTTCTTTTTTCTTTTTACAGTTGTTCAATTGTCATTTATTTAATTGACAGTTTATTTGAAGAGTATAAAATTTACACTGACTCTTCTTTTCGTTGTTATTGCAGTTCAAAACACAACAAAAATCATGGCCCATTTTAAAATACATACAAATCGTAGTAAATCTCAAAGAAAGTTTGATAGTATCCGCGAATTGTTCAAATTTCTGCCACGACATGCGCTGCGATCGCTTTACTATACCCCCACTCTGTACTTCGCACATAGCCATTAGAGTTCCGTAGTACCCATCACAATAATGCGGCCTAAGAAGTCAAGAGGGCTTTTCATTGTTTCATACTAATTACTATGAACATTCAACGTTAACTAACCGTTTCGGCATAATGTCTAAAAATGATGAACATCCTTATGTTATGATTTTATTTTCAATTTTATTGAAATTAATTACTTACCTAATTTTCGTTTTGTTACCGATAAAATACCGTCAAAAAAGTCATTTTTTTTTCATTTTTCGATTTTTCAGTATCGATATCTCGGAAACTAAGCTAGATATCGAAAAAAAAAATATTCTTATTTTTGCGTATCTTGTCGAAATCTATGCGAATAAGCCTTCTATTCAATCTTGGCGCCGTAGGAACCGTAGAATCCTCCAGTAATATACTAACTGCTATCTGGCTGGGCAAACGGTCTGTACTTTTTCACAATATAAAATTTGTTATTAACTCTACCACACATTCACCTATTGGATTCTACTCGTAAAACACATAAACAAATATAAAACCACAAGGAATTCCGGAGAGTGGAAAACACCAATCGCTATACTTGGCCCAACCCCGGGAGACGGCATGGAAATCCAGGACACCAAATTTGCAGGAGTACATCATACACACTATCCACTAGACTAACAATTAACAAACATATACATAATACAATAGTAAATGTTGGTATTTTTATAGAATGCAGTTAATAATACATAAGTACCTATCATGATGATCTACTTAGATTTGATTTTTATGAATTTATTACAATTAACAAACTCATCTTAGGTGATAGCACCGACTACTCAGCCCAACAGTAGTAATTGGGTGATAGACACAGTGATTCATTCTTTTTAAAGCATCCAGGAATCCATGGGAGGTTGTGTGATTTTATTATCTTGACGAGATTGGGATAACAATATTGTAATGGTAAATGTATCATTGAAGTAGATTGCTATTTTTTACAATAACATGCTCGATGATACCGGTAACTCGTCAGTTTTATACAGTGAAAGTAAACTATTTTATTTCCGCGGGTTCTGTGAACTATTTGTCGTCAATATTACGTGAAGTGATGTAAAAGAATATGTTCCTAGTATGACTTTATTGAGATGTAGAATGTTTTCGTTCAATTTAAAATGCCTACACTTTATCTCCAACAATTTAAAGTAAGTATTTTTAATAATTATTATTTTAAAAATGTCTACCATATAGACAAAGTTAAACTATGACCGAATTATTTCCAAATTTTCTTTCTTGGAATAGCTATTCGGTTTTCCTTAAAGTCTTAAGAAACGTATGATATTTTAAAGGATATGTCGCAGAGGAAAATCCAGATATAACTACTTAATTTCATAATTAGGTGAAACAAATAGGAACATTTCATCGATGGGGTCATCTAAGTGCATTAAATTGGTAAGCGTTGCATAAGTAGAACGCAGCTGACATAACAAATGCTTCGCAACTTAAACGTCCTTGGCCTCGTAGCGCGGCGAGTGTTCGAGTAAACATTAAACATCGCATAGTAGAGCCGACTGCGCGTGTAGCCGGTAATAGTCTATAATAGTAATTACATACCTGAATAATTTTAATTAATATATAAATTGAAATAAGCAAGTGTGTAAATTTTTATAAGCACAGGAATATAAAAAAAACTTTGTGCTGCGTGATACGTGTAACTAAATTTATATAAAATATGAATATAACGTACATTTTATGTTTCCCTCACAATTTTGTTGTTTTCAGGACCAATGTAAATTGTGAATCTATTCATTCATTAAAAAGTGATAAAATATAAATTGGGTAAGAGAAAATATTGAACAAAATTAATTTTATATACTTATATTAATGTAAAAGTTATACTCTACAACGACTCATTAATAATTTTAACTTGCATTGGGTAAGTACTAAGTAATATTAATATTCTATATCTAAACAAGTTTTAATTTTAGGTGAATAAAGTAAAAACATGAATATTTATGTGACCTTCTAACTTACATCAGTTTTAAGCATTGCAATATTTTATAACGAACAGTAATTACGCTGTACATATTTAAATATTTTGTTATAAAATAAGACCTAATACATTGAAATTGAATTACCAAATAAATATAAATAGTTATTGTTTTTACAAGATATGGGGTTTTTTATAGTAGAATAATTATGTGTATCTCTATATTTAAATTTCAATTAATATTTAATATATACATTGTAATATTAATTAAAAGTGTACATACTAACATGTATTTCATAAATATTAAACATGTCATAAGACACACGGAAAGCCCACTCAGCCTTTCTACTTGTGACCTTAGTTTATTCTGGCGTAAGAATTCGTCGAGTATTTACAATTGTATAGTTGGTTAAATTCATATACTATAACTGCTTAAATAAATATTAAATACTAGCGGCTCACCCTCGCTTCGCTCGGGTTCGTCGCTAGGTACGTTTTAAATAGATATAAAAAGAAAAAATCTTTCTTTCTCACATTTTAATTATATGTTTTAATACTTACCTATTCCGGACTAAGAGAAATCCAAAAATTAAAATATCATAAAAATTGGAACGCGGTCGAACGGGATAAAAAGTATCCTATGTCCTTCTCCTGGCTCTAAACTACCTCCCTGCCAATTTTCAGCTAAATCGGTTCAGCCGTTCTTGAGTTATAAGCGAAGTAACTAACACGACTTTCTTTTATATATATAGATAAAATCGTAGAATTGTAGCGTTAATACAAAAGACATCAACGCGCTCTACCTTTATTTTTAAGTATACATTTTGTGCAGCCTTTTTGCATGCATCAAGCAAATGTAAAAGAATTAATTATTATTTCTTATGATTATAAGAAATAATATTAATATAAAATTTATTTCATAAAAATAGAAGTTATCAAAAATATATCAGACATTTGCTCATATAATAAACAATTATATCGTAATTACAAACTACTAATTTACAATATTTTTCTAAGAAAAAGATAATCTAATGAGATTCTTAATAGGTACAAATGTTATATATTAATACCTAACATGCTTTATAAAGTAAGTTTTAATCACTAAATGCTAATTAAAAAATAATTATTTAATGTATATCCACGTACATATATATTATAACATAAAATCAAATTCCAATAACGTAGTATATAATTGTTATAGCATGATAAATGTTTTTTTTATATTGGTTATCTACAAAATGGTCAGTCCTCGTGAATATTTTTTTATGTATGTAGAGCACATGCATACATTTTTTTAACTCCTATTAGAGCTCCGAAATTTAAAAAAAGATTGTCCGATTTCACCAACAACCTATAAGCTACCACCTATATATGGGATCCCTAGCTTAAAAGTCCCCTAAACTAGCCCCTAAATTAAATTTCGTTTTATGATCGTCTTTAAGCCCATATTTCGAGCACGTAAATTTAGGGGGCCTTTTAATATTTAGGTGACCCCTAACTGTCGGTGAAACAGAAACTGACCCCTAAAAGCCCCCTAACCATGCTTAGGGGATCCCTTAAACCAACGGCCACTCAGCCTAACTTAGGTGACGTTGGAGAAATCGGACATTATTGGATTATGTTGTTGTCAATCCATCCATCAAACGAATAGATGTAAAATTGAAATTATTATCATTTATACTACGGTCTACATGATCTTGGAGATATAAATCTTCTAAAGGCCAAAATTAATAAATCTCTGATTGAATGAACTATATATTGTGGTTAAATATAAGTTATCTATACAATTATAATAAAATTCTGAGTCAAATCTGTACATTAAATATTTTTTGGAAAATCTAAACAAAGGCCGAATCTATAGTTTATAGAATTTTTGTCGGTCTGTCCATCTGTCTGTGACCGAATCACGAGAACCACTGGACAAATTTTAATGAAATTTGGTATGATAACGGCTGGTTATCCGAGTCAACATATAGGATACTTTTTACTGCGAGAAAACATATCATCTCTGAGAAATCTATACTAAAACGTAACTATAGGGACGAACCCGAGCGGAGTGAGGGTGACTCGCTAATACTATAATATAGATATATTTACCAACAATAGATCCTTTGAAATTTTTTTATATTTCCTGGTTCAAATGATAATTGAAGTACGCTATTAACTTTATCTTATAATAAACGCAATCAAAGCAAACTACTTTATGTCACAAATTTACTTCATGATCTGATCTACTATCTATAGGTATAATTAACCATTGTCTCGTTAGCTAAAAATGTTTAGTAAAAATGCCTAATAATGTTAAGTACCTGGGCGACCGAGCTTCGCTCGACCTTTTTTCTGAAATTGTATAAAATTGCGTTTTTTTCAGAAAAGATATAACTTAATTATAACTTAAAAAGCAAAACCTTATCTAAATAGAAAATTTGATCCAAATCGTTAGAGCCGCTTCCGAGATACACGAAATAAATTTATATATATAAACAAGAATTGCTCATATAAAATTTATTGTTATATTACCTAATATTTTTTAGGTATTACGAACTTATATTTGCAGTTATAACAGCAACCTTGATATATACGAGTACATATTATGTAGTAGGGAGGAACACTCAGTAAAGCTTAATTTGACCTTTATTTTTGAAATTAAATTATACTTATGTGTTGTTGCGCATAAACAGCACTTATTACTAGATACTTATTATACTTGATTCTTTCGCTCTCTATCCCTAGAATATCCTTAAATATAGGGATAGGTACGAAAATCACCGGAGGGTGATAATTACTTCGTGTATTTTATACTTAATTGAAGAAAGGTAAACTTTAAAACTTCAGATTCCATTTTTTTGCCAATAATAGGCAACCATAATGCTTGTAGCCATGGAAGATAAAAACTGTTTTTAGAGTTCCGTGTCCAAAGGGACCCTAAAACGGGACCCTATTACTAAGACTTATGTATGTAATAAATAAAATATAAATAAAAAGTAGTGGTTAATTAATGAACCGTGAAAGTTAGACAGTTGAAATTTTCACAGATGATGTATTTCTGTTGCCGCTATAACAACAAATACTAAAAAACAGAATAAAATAAATATTTAAGGGAGCTCCCATATAACAAACGTGATTTTTTTGCTCGTTTTTGCTCGATATTGATAACGGCAACAGGTAGCCCCTTGAAATATTCACAAAATATTTAATTATATATTCACTTTAAAAATAAATGATTAAATTAAAATAAAACAAATATTTAAGGGGGCTCCCATACAACAAGCTTGATTTTTTTTGCCGTTTTTATAGATAATGGTTTTTTCTCTTCCGTGCTTGTGTATTGTGTGTTGTAGTATTGACTACTTTTTGTGATCATATCTGGAGCAGTTCCTAAATAGGTCTGGAAGTACGTACTCGTAGGTCCTAGAAGTGACCACGTAAAATGCCGTAAAATATTTACATTAAACTACCTGATTGAAAATTTTTTGAGCAATTATGACTGTGTTAATCTAAAATAAATATACTGTTTTATCGGTTCACTGCAAAGTTCTTAGGTACTTTTAGGTACATATTATGTCGTTTATTTCTTTAGGGATAGGCACTTATATTTTTATAATAGTTTTTGCCAACAGCTCTGTTCAATCGGCATCGGAGTAAAAATGTAAGCTCTCTCCATTGTTTGCGATTTTTAGCACTGGCGTCCTTTGAGCACACACAAAAACACACAGGTACATTTACTCACAAATTTACGCATTCTTAATGTTTATTTTCTCTATACACATAGGTATATTTTCTTTTCGGTAAAATAAATATTACAAACCTGTTTGGTAGGTTATGAAAAATTATGTTTAAATAAAAGTAAAACAATTTTAATTACAAGTATAAATAATCACGGCATACATATTTATAAAGGTGCCTGTAATATTTAAACATAAACGACACGTTTGGCTCAGTTTGTAATGACCCTACTTGCTGTACCAGTGGGTCGCGGGTTCGAGTCCCGCTGGGGGTATTCATTTGTGTGATGAGCACGAATGTATGTATTCTAATCATGGGTGTTGATATTTATTATATGTATATATTTAAAGTTATATATGTGAAGTATCAACTATCTGGTATCCATTACACAAGCTACGAGCTTACCATGGAACTAGATAGTGTTAATGTCCCAATATATTTACAATATATAAAAGATAACACGAGTTTGCAAATACTGTATAAAATTTTTTTTCTTGCAGTAAGATTTTTATTAAATCCTGGTTTAAGAAAAAATACTAGCAACGCTTATGTTTACACATACACGTTATTACCTACGTACCTACACAAATGTTTCTTATCTGGATATTAATACTAGGGCACTCGCTTTTTTCATCAAATCAGCATAAACTGCCATATGCATTGACCATGCTTTGCTTTTCCACTTAAATTTATTGTTATAAAAATAATAAACACTCAAAAAAACTATAATATACATACATACCGAGTTTTACCAGTTTTACCAATCTGATCAAAATTTTGTCCATGAACCAAGTTTGACCATTAGATATTATCGGTCCAAGCTGAAGTTGTTTTTTTCTACCTACGACAATGTGGTGGCAATAAAGCTGACTAATTAATTAAACTAATAAAGTTATTTTACAAATCTTGGACTTCCGCTTTTTCTCATAAGCTTACTTTTCATATTTTATCATATGTACTCGTGTTCGTGCAATAAAATATGAAAAAAGTATTTAATTACCATAAATTATTTATAATATTTTCAATTTATTTCATTTGACTTTAGGTTACAGAATAATAACTATTTATACCTGAAGATGGAAATAAACTATAAGCTCGCCTTAACGACGTTGATCATCGCAGCTGTCGCACTTCTAGTCTCTGCGCAACCAGTCAGTATACGTAATCGTTACATATCATGTGAATAATTTTCTTGCAATAGGTACCTTTAAATTATATAAGAAAATTATGGGAAATAATCACTAAACATATTTTTATCATAGTTATCCTACATTTTTTTTAAATGGTATTAATTATTACATATTTTATTAGTCAATACGAGTGTAATAAAGAATCAATGTTTGAGGGGCTACTCAACGTTTACATTTTGATATATTTCGATTCATTTCAGTTAATATTATTTACCGTAATTAATTAATCGTACCATCTACAGTTCAACTTACAAATTAAATGAATCGAACTGGTGCAAATTAAATAAATGACAATAACGTTTGAAGTTCATTTTAGATTTAGACCTAAACTGAATGTCTCATGGTACGATATCCCGAAACAGTTAATTATCTACACTAATATTATAAAGACCTAAAGTTTGTGAATTGTGAGTTTGTGACGTTGTAGGGGGTAATCTCTGGATCTACTGAACCGATTTAGATGAACTTTGGTAAGAAGATAGTTTGAGACCCTGGGAAGGACATAGGATACTTTTTATCCCGGAAATCATCCATTAAGGTGTTGAAAATGGGAATGAAAGTTTGTATGGGGAATCAACCTAGGGACGAACCCGAGCAAAGCGAGGGTGAGTCGCTAGTAGGTCATAAAAGAAGTCGCAATAAGGGTAGATGGCAGGCCCTCTGCTATTTATATAATGTATTTTTAATATTATTTTCACTATTGTAGCCCCTAGCAAATGAATCAATCGGAAAAGACAAAGCTCTACGAGGATCATTATTAAGAGCAGGGAAAAATGTTGCAACTAAACCAAAGTGGGGTTTTTTCGGTACAGTATTCAACCTTATCGTAGAGGTAAAAATAACATCACATTATTGGCTTTATATGAGAAGCTTAAGAGCTTAATTATGTAACGTGTTTTTTTTATTTCTTTTTAGCAAATTAATGACACTAAGAGTGCATATAGTCAAATATCCGATCTGGTGAATAAACAATTTATTGACGATAACGTAAGTATTTAATCTATACATAAAATAAAATTGTAACTAATCCGAATCTGTACATTAAATATTTTTTGGAAAATCTTATTAAAATAAACATTATTATCGATACAGAGGCCGAATCTATAGTTTTTAGAATTTTTGTCTGTCTGTCTGTCTGTTACCGCATCACAGAAAAACCACTGGAGGGATTGTGATGAAATTTGGTATGTTGATAGCTGGTTATCCGGGTCAACATATAGGAAACTTTTTACCGCGGGAAAATGTTTCATTTCTGAGAAAAATTACAAAACTGCAATGTAAGAGTATACTAATAATATGTAAAACCTAAGAATTTGGTTTTTGGTCATCTGAACGCGGGCGGAGCCGCGGGCAATGCTAGTTACTGCATATAATAACCATAATATGATAAGTATTTTTTACGTACAGTCTTGAGTATAGACTTATTTATTCGATGTCACATATTTTTGCTGACAGCGCGGCGTGGGAATATTTTGCAATCAGATATTATTACCGAAGTGTCTGCATTGTCATATATTATTGCTCGTGACTGTACACAACGTATCTTCCTCTATTTAGAATGACAATTTTTTAATTTTTCCAATATAAATCTCTTCAAAAATAGCTCCAAAAAAGAAAAAAAATCTCAGATTTATTATTTAACAATTATCGCACTTGCAATGTTCATAATAATTCAAGCAGAAAAAAAATATATTAATTAACTATTGCATAACTAATGCAAAAATTGAGATAAAATGTTTTTCCAGTGGATTTTATTTATCTATCCAGGAAGCCCCTGAATTTTTTTATTTTTTAAATTTTATATTTAATATGTTAAAATAATTTTTATTGTGTTAAAGTGTCTTAAGTAGGCGTGGCTTGCGCAAGCCAGAGCATCCGTTTTCATCCCTCTGGGAAAATTATAAATATTGGTCCTAACATTTCTAGGAGTTGAGATTTTGTTTAGGAAATTTTCTCCTCTGTATGAAACTTTTCTTAGATTAGAAATATCTGAATTAGTTTTTGAGATATATGCAAAAAACCAAACCACCTTTTTTTTAGATTTTTATAAGTTTTGCAAGCGGAACTTGATTTTTTTCAAAAATCATCTACATGCCATTCCGAATCGAATGAATCGAAAATATATTTTCCGAGACTTCTGAAAAAAGTTGATCAAAAAGGCACTTGTTGATTAGAATATTAATATATTTATCAAAATTGTTAAAATGCTCTTAGGGTATCAATTAGACGCGACTTATTTCAATTTAGCAAAAAAGTTTACACTCGACCACTTGAACGTAACTGTACATTTATTTTTTTCTCTGCTATGATGTATGTTTTTAATTTTATTGATATTTTATGAATTATTTTTAATTTAGCAAGCTGTAACTGGTACGCCTGATAAACCGAATAATGGCACAACAGAATCACCAAAAATCACAAGGTCGGAATTTTTAAGAATAATTGACCGAAATCTCAAGGGCTTGGCTCGTCTTCGGAATCTTGAGTGGCGCGAATCCAAAAAGGTTGTACTGTTATTCTTAAATTTTTTTTTTCTTGAAAACCCCTTTTGATATGAAAAATACAGAAAATAGGTATATTTAGAAAATATGGCATCAAATAGGTAAACCTCTTTTTTGCGATGCATATTACCTTAGATAGGTTATTTTTAATATCATGAAAATGAAATGAAATTATATAATATATGTTATTTATAGTATAATTAAATAAAAATGTTAGTTGGTAAGTCATATTATGTATCTACTTATGTGATTTTGCAGAGATATCCAAACATAGTATTTATAATTATATGTATTAAAACAATTATGCTGATTGATGTAATTTTCAGGATTCGTGGTCCAACGTGCAAGGTTATTGGAATGAGATATTTGCAGGGAAGAAATCGAAAAGTTCTGGATAAAATTAGTACCTACTTATAAACTTGTAATGTTAAAATTAAAAAATACTGCTATAAAATATAATTTATTTAATAACTATAGTTTGCTTTTATATTAACTACCAATCACCAAGTTTCAAGTAATGCTGATAATAATTTTTTGGAGTTGTATTGTAGTTAATTGCTGGGTCGTGTTTGCCCGTGAGAATTAGGTAATCTTCCGCAGTAAAAAGTAGCCTATGTCTCTCTCCAGCCCTCAAACGATCTCCGTACACAAAATAACGCCAATCCGTCACTCTGTTTCGACGTAAAATAAGGACAAACAAACAAACACACTTTCACATTTATAATATTAGTATGGATATCGACAATACCGATACCGATTATAAGATGTAATAAGTAAAAGCTGTGGGTTAAAGATAGAAAATATGTAGGTATATATAGAAACAGACGACTTTAAACAGAAGATTAATTTAGGATTTGGGAACCTTATTATATCTAAAAGCACTTTGGGATAAGAAAATATGAAAAAACTATAAATGTTGAATTTCTGAAAACTGGCCCAAACTTAAAAGCTGTAAGTAAAAAAAATAATTATAAGAATTAAAAACCCGACTGAGTAAATCAAACAAATAAACAAACCGTTTGTTTGTTCTCACTTTCACATTTATGATATTAGTACGGACTACGGACTAGCGACTAACCATCACTTCGGGTTCGTTCCTAGATGTATATATAATGTACTCTGTGTTCCTAGATAAGTTTTGACGCTTAGTATGAAATAAATAGACTATACGAATAATATACATACATACATACTACATAGGTGCGATGAGCTTTATATCCATTTACTTACTTGAGAAATGATTGATTCCCCATACAAACTTCCACCCTCCTTTTCACCCCCATAAGAGATGATTTCCGGGATAATAACTTAAACATTTCATCTAAGTTGGTTTAGCGAATTAAGCGTGAAGAGGTAACAGACAGACAGTGTTACTTTAGCATCTATAATATTAGTATGAAAGTAGGCTGTAGGGATTGTTTTACTAGAATATGTTAGTATACGAATTAAATTTTCTTAATTTAATACTTTAAATATAATTATTTAAATTCGAATGATGAAATTAATAATGTTAAAATCTTACGTAGCTAACATATATTTTGACTGAAGTTAAAGCTAGTAACACTGACTACCAGCTCATCGACGCGGTAGCCGGTACTAGGGAGGTACTTGCAGGGAAAAAATCCATTACTAAATAATCGATTTTTCTCTCTTTATCATAAATAGATTTCTAAAAAAAACGATTTACTAAAAAATAATCGTTTTTATTGAATTATTCGAAAAGTTGCATATAAGTCGATAACTAAAATTACAATTTGTTGGTTTAAAGTTATTTTTTCAACCTAAATAGTAAGGAAACTGAATAAAATTATTGCTACTATTATTACTACATTTTATTATAATGTGTATAAAAAAAACGATAAAATGTGTTGTTTGGCTACATTGATATAATCCAATACCGCATATCTTATCTTTTTTACTTAAAAAAAAGTGAGTAAGTAATATAATCGATTCATTAAAAATCAATTTTTAATATTTAGAAAATCGATTATTAAAATCGATTATAAGAAAAATATATAATCGATTACTATAAAAATCGATTACTTTTTCACATCTCTGGTCGATACGCGGCTTTAATTAATAATTTAAAATTTTCTTTCTATATCGCTCTCGGCATCCATCTTGGATTTGAAAATATTCGTGGTCATCTTTTTAATCTTGAATTTATTGATTCCCACAAAATAAATCTGTTAGTTTGGACGTTCAAACAATTATCAATGTAAGTATAAATTATTTAATACTACATAATTCTTTTTATTTATAGAATGTAAAGATGAAAATCTAGAGAAGCCATATTTGATATTCGTGATAACAACCGGTGGACGTTAAAACTAAGAATGTATAAGTTAAATTAGAAAATATTAAACAAAATTTCATAGTTTTTGCTTACTATGTTATTTTATTTTACTTGCATTAGCACTATTTTTTAAATTATTAAATTTTGTTATATTTACTACTTCATAAAATACTTAACCTGCACAAATGCCATTACAAGACGTATTTAATAGCTTTATTTACAAAATGAAAACTTAAGTATTTTTAGGTACTTTTAAATTATTTTTATTAATGATATGCATTTCTGCTTCTGATACTTTTGACATTTTATGTCGTAAATAGATGTCATCTCGAGGGCGTGGATACGGTGGTAGAGGCAGTTACAATGGCAGAGGTAGTAGTTATAGAGGGTCCTATCGTGGAAGTAGTAGTCGTGGCAACTATGAAGGAGGACGCGGTGGCAGAGGCGGAGGATACTCATCTTACAACAACGACTCCCGATATAACAGCAGCAGCGCCAATAGATATGTCTCAAGTCGTGATAGGATAGATGATTCTTATAAAAAACCGTATCGATCAGTAAGTTTATATATATGTATTGTACTCTCAGTAACATTTTAACAATTGTTTAAAATTTAAGTCAATAACATTTCCTTAATTTCTCAATTTGATATGGGATTTATTTTAAGTTTTCAACATAGGAATGCAACGCGGAGCAAGATTGTTAAAAACTTACTAATCATTAAAAAAAATGTATGTTATAAACTATGGAGATTGGCACCTAATGTTTCTGATTAATGAAATGATTTCTGTTATGGAAATAAGACATGTAAATCTAATAAATACCTTAGCCATGATGTGTCTGTAAAAGTGATGTCTCTTAAATGTTATGTTACAACATAAGGTGAAATAATTTTGATTTGTGGAGTATATGACATGGGAACCATATTTTATCCATAGACTATTTCAACGTAAACATTACTTCTTATTTCTATCCATAGAAATATATACAACAATGGCAAAACCAATATAGATGTGAATTGTGAAAATTGACCTTTCAGGAAAGTTCTACTAGTTATTCAAATCGTGACTATGGTGGTAGATCAGGCTCACCAGATCGCAAAAGGATAAGGATGGAGGTTAGTTAGCAAACTATTTCAAAACATTCAAAACATATATTTCTACATTATATGAAGTATAAAATGTGTAACTATTCAACTCATTTTTGGATTTAAAGAACTATTATCTGCAATCAATTTTAAAATGTTTCAGAAACAAAGATGGTTTGGTTTTTAAACATAGACAAGTGCTGCATGATTTATGTAAGATGAGAAATGTCATGCCATCCCTGTTTATTTTTTTGTTACACATCAATACTATATTTAAAGAAATATATATTTGAAATACTGTAAATCTTGTGTGAAAGAAAATGGAGATATTTGTAAATCATGATAGATGAAAAGGTTTTATATAAAACATTACTAAAATCAAAAGAAATTAAATATATTGACTTAAACATTAGAAATAAAATTGGTTTCTATTTAAATCATGACTATTACAAACATGGAGCAATGTAACATCATCACTAGAGAAAAATCGGCAACTATACATATGAATGACATGGACATGTACTATAATACATGATCATTCTTCACCTGAAGAGGTAAATCCTTTATAGTCTGGCAGATAAATATACCATTATTGGTTTACTCTGTTTAAATATTATCTGAACACCACCATTGCTATTCTGTATTTATTTAATAAAACTATCAAAAAGATAGGTAATACAGCGTTTAGTCATATATGAAATTTAATTAAGAATGTGTCTTAAGTCAACTAGAAGAAAACAATATTGTCGAGTTAGTTGTCCGCTTATTTTTAAGATAACTAGAAAAGTTCCAAAAGCAAGTTATGTACAGGGCTCCTCGAGCGATAGACGTAGTCACGATGGGGGTCACTATGGCGGGTCGTATGGACGCCAGGAGGGTTACGGCGGCGAGCGGCGCTCGTTCGGCGAGGATAGAAGGCGGTCGCCGGCCCGAGAGAGCTACCGCAAAGCGAGCGGCATGGGCCCGCCGCGCGAGCCGCCGCGCTCCGCCGTGCGCCCGCGCGCGCCGCGCCGCTCCTTCCGCGGACGCACGCTGCGCTCGCGCGCCTCCTACCGAGGAGCCCCGCGCTCTCGTGGCTCCTTCACTTCTAGACGATTCGCTGATCGATCGCTGGGATACACCCGAGCATTTAGAAGTGTCAAGGGCCGAAGGTAAACCGACACAAAGTAATGCTTACACTTAGTTTTTGTTGCTCTGGAAGCTTACCATGTGTAAATCCAGATGTTTAGAAAGCAATGATGGCAGACTGCTTTGGTGACGAATATCAGTTATTGCTCTCATGCAAATTTAATAGAAGCTTTAATATAGCGAGTCATTTGAGGGTAAAGTTTATATAAAAGACTGTATAAAATGGTATATGAAAGAGTTAAAGGAAAAGATCTTGAAAAATAAAAGGGAATTTATGTGAACCATAGATAAATAAAATATCTAATAGCAATGATGTCTCGTTTACACAATGTTATATATAAAATCCAGATGAACTTGGAAACTAAAGAAACAAGGCCAGACCTGTTAAAAAAAATTTAATAAAGTTGAAAAATTTGATTAAAAGGAGGGACTAGGTTGAGTAGGACAGATAAGCCTCTCATGATTTTAAATTAATGTGACATAATGATTAGAAGTAAAACTTGTTGCAAAGAAGTTCTATAGAAGAAAATCTTCTAATTACTACATCCCATTTTTAGTCATAAAATATTATATTGTACAGTTATATCCTCAATTGTGTAATGTATTTTTAATATGGCCCCTCATATAAATATATTGCACACTAGCTCAGTAAAGTCAAAAGAAGAAGAGGCATCCTCTACAGAAGAAGATTGGGAAGCTGATGAGAAAGAAGAAACTGTAGAAGACAAGAAGGAAGTTAAGACAAAATCACCAAAAGTAAGTTAAACTTAAGTTAATATTTAAAATATTTTATTTTTTAACATTTTGTATGAGACTTCATATTATATCTTTAATATTAAGGCCGACCCCGAAGCCTCAGAAGGTGAAGCAGGCGATGGCGGTGATGATACTGACAAGGAACCCGACGCCGCTTCTGATGCAGCTCCGTCGCAGACGTACGTCCATCTCTCCTGTGTGCACTGTAAAGAAAAATGTGCCACATTTTCTGTGAGTAATGCAAAAGTGTTTTTTTTTTTCATCAAATTAAATTTTACACATAATCTTTATAATTGTTATGAGTATTAATTGTATATCAACAATGGCATCGGGTAACGAAAATATTTTGATGTTAAACATAAAATGTATAGGGTTACGCGAAGCACCTGTTGTCAAGCAAACACCGCGCCGCGATGAGCGCGGTGGCGCGCCGCCACAAGGCACAGCTGCTGCGCATGCGCGTGGCGCAGCGCGGCGCCCAGCGCGAGCTGGAGGCAGCGGCCGGCGCCGAGCTGGCGGCACGCACCACCTTCTGCCTGGTGTGCCGCCTCAACCACCGCACCACGCGCCACGCGCACAATCTCACCGACACGCACCGCGCCATGAAGCGCTTCCTCATGCCCTTCTGCCGCATCTGCCGCACCACTTTCCGCTCACCCATGATCTACGAACATCATATTAGCTCCATTGAACATCTAAAGGTTTGTCAATATTGGTTAAATTTTTTTTCTTCATGTATCTTTGCAATATGCTTTAATTATGAACTTTTTATTAAAAAAATCAATTTTGTTTTCTCAGAAAAAAGCAAGTCAAACAACACGGCGTTCAAGCCCAAAAGCTGAAGCCAGTGGTGATGAGGGCATGGATGTGGATTTAGATAACTTTATGACTTTGGATTCTGTGGGTGATGTAGATGGTGATTATCACATAACGCTACTTATGATAAAATTGAACCCATGTTTAATTATGAGACACCACCTTTGGAGGAGTAGTGGGTGGTATGTTTATGATACGGGAGGTCATAGGAAGTCTTAAGTATATAAAAATTGTTTTGAAGAAATGTAGGAGTCAAAAGTTATAGCGACTTAAAGTTACAATATTTCTATATGGCATACGTTATTATCTCTTATTTATAAACATTTGCTGTCATTTTGACACTGCCAATTCTTCTGACACTGTCCCATACCTATAATTTATGAGTTGACTCTCACCAAATTTAAAATAATATAGCACATAAGATATTGGGGGTTATGGGTTTGAAATAAAACATAGACCTAACGAGAAGGACAAGGGCTTACTATTCTTTAAAGGTATGTTTATCTTTAGTGATGGTTTATTTAGGTATTAAATGAAAAAATCGCAAATTTAGTAACATTTAAGTTTCCATAATTTTTGACTCCTTCATTTCCTCAAAATAATATTTATATACTTAGTCTCCATATCACCTCTCCTATCTAAAATACCACCCACTCCTCAGGAACCCGCGTCCCATATAAAACTCCTGAACTGCAGCCTAAAATAGATATTATTATCATGGAACCGTCTTCATTATCATAAAATTATTCTTATCACCACAGAAGTTGAAGATGATGATTCAGGTGGTGAGAAAAAAGAGGATTCCAGCCCAAAAAAAGCAAAAGTGGAAATTAATATTGGAAGTGAACATATCAAAAAGATGGAGGTAATATATTGAATTTTATTTATTTTGACAGTATTTTATATTCTCTTTACGGTGTAAAAATCATCAAGAGGATATTAGGAAGATATTTTAACTTACTTTAAAATAAAACCATTACCAGCATCCAATAATAACAAATCTAACAAAGTACTAGTGAATGGTAATGGCATGCTGGGCTGCCACATAGTATAATTTGGTTGTCTTATGTATGTATTTTTTGAGATTGACATGTATAAATGGGTAAAACAATAAAATGTGAAGTAAACTTTGTGAGAAAAAATACTTTTTTCTTAATAATCGAACAATATTATAATTTATGAAATTTTATTAAAACAATAACAAAAAACGTAGTAGTCGACTTTAGATAGACCAAATATAATTTTCGAATTTATTATCACTGTGGTCAGGTATCAATGTGTGATAAAGTAACATACTGTGCAATGACTTTTTTAATCTGAGTTATCTATTTTAAATTATTATAACACACTATATCTCAACAGCTTTATTGATTTTTATAATAAGATTTGATTTTTTGTATAATTTCAATGATCCAACAGTATAAAATAAGTTGACTCTATTGGCAACACTGATGGCATGTTATAGGTGTGGTGGTGCGAGCTGTGCCGCGTGTATCTGCCGCGCGCGGAGGCCGGCAGCACGGAGGAATCGGAGGCGCTGCGCCGCCACTGCCGCCTGCGCATCCACCTCGGCCGCTACGTGCAGCACCGCGACACGCGCACGCTGCGCCGCCACGCCGAGCGCATCCACCGCCAGTTGCACCAGCAAAAAGGTAGGTTTGTTTCCTCATTAGAATATTAATATTGATGCTTCAATATTGGAAGCCTGAAGGCATGAACGAATTAACCACTGGACCAGACATATAAGCGGACGTACCTTTACCGGTCTTATCAGTAACCAGGGAATTTTAGCCTTGGTCATTTGTTTTTTGTGTCAGTCTAAAGCACTTGTCAACAAAACATCTCACAAAAATGACTAAATGTTCTGTTAAATGGTGTAAAAACTATAGCGGTGGAAGCAGCACTATTTCTTTTCACTTGTAAATACATTATTGTATTACATTTATTGGTATTTATCATAAAATTTTATGAAATGTAAAATAAAATGTCATATTATCCAACTATGTTAAATATAGTCGATATTTCTATATATTGTTGACATCTGACAACCATCATAAAATGGCTGGATTATACCTTTCAGAACAAATGACAAAACTGTTGAGCGAGTCCATTTGACATCGACTAGTGCTTGACAATGTCGAAAAATATATCGATGTTTGACGAAATAACTAAACGAATTGTGTTATTTGTACAGTACAATAACATAAAATACTTTTATCACAGTATCTTACAATCTGATGACAATAAATTTATAAAAATATTTTCTAAATCAAACAAAAATATAAATGTAAAAATTATAATTAGTATGTGTACTTAATTTTTTAATTTATTTTATACCACATTTATATACTTTGGAATATTATTCCATTGTAATAATAATAAAGATCATTTTATTTCAACACATATATTACACAAAATCAAACAATAATGTTTTAGCACTAAACTTCTGAGTTGGCGATTTGTAATAAAACACTTTACCACTTGCACTAATTATTTTACTTTCACGATCCAACACTCATTTTTTCTTTTTCCTAATTTCACAAATGTTTATTAAGAACTGAGCAATATTAGGACAGCGTCACATTTTTATAACTACCCGAGAAAATCAATTGCCAATTAAAATAGTTCAATAACAGAATCAACAAAATCTCTTTATGTAATTAAATTAGCGTAATATTTTTTTAATCTTTACAAAATAATATATATTTATAATTATTATATATTAATGGAATATACACCCAATATTCATTTGTTCATTAACATTATTATATGCCAACAGAATGTTGCCATCAATGCCATCATATTTATATAAATCAAATTAAAAAATAATTATTATTTGACACATTATTGTTGCCTCTTTAATTTATTATAATAAATACAGATATTTTAAATTAAAAGATGTAAAATATGATGAGTATGCTAACCAATGTCTAAAATGTCATTCATTGCTTCATCGATATATGTATTTTATTGATTACGTTCAAGCACTAGAAATATTGTATTGTGTATCAGTGTTTATAATAATTGTATGTGTGTCGTGTCACTTGGTTGAACTAGTTTTCATACATTTGTATTTTATGTCAGGTCCAGTCTCTAATTTGTTCATGCCTGAAGGATTCAAACTTGCTCAAACTCAGGTGATTTCTTATGACCACTAATTTCTTCAAGAGCTTCTTCAGAAGATGAGGTCTTGAGTATGGTCTTAAGATTAACCACAGTAAAACCAAAGTAATGATTAACTTTTTTTTCATGGCACATTACACAGCTAGTGAACTGTTCAGTGGTCCAATCATATTTTTACTTGGAGTGTTGATTTCGAATACTGGGGGCTGCATTAGTAAGATCAAACGACAAATGGCGACAAACAAATTACAAAAAAATGTGGGGAAGCCGTGAAACAATTAAAGCTACTGAGATTAAACTAGTTAGAACACTTGTGTTCTCTGGACTAACATTTCGATCCACTACAGTTACTCTGACACTACAGTTTTTCTATTTTTTTCTCAGAAATGAGACATTTTCCCAGGATAAAAAATATCCTATATGTTGACCCGGGTAACCAGCTATCACCTTAATAAATTTCATCAAAGTCCCTCCAGTGGTTTTTCTGTGATGCGGTAACAGACAGACAGACAAAAATTCTAAAAACTATAGATTCGGCTACGAGATATCGATAATAATGTTTGTTTCAATACGATTTTCCAAAAAATATTGAATGTACAGATTCGGCTTAGTTACAATTTTATTATATGTATAGATTATTTGTAAATAGTATCTATCCATTTTTTAGAAGATGAAAAAGAAGCAACTAATGAGGACAACACTGAGAAAGCCAAGGTAGAAAAAAATGAAACAGCATCTGAAAAGAAATGTATAGAAAATGGAGCTGATGTCGCAAATGCTTCTGGTAAATATTGCACATTATTATAAGCTTAAAACTCTTGTACAGATACAATATTTACAAAATATCTTTATAAATGTAAATACTCATTATTTGTTTAGGCAGTGAAGATAAATTGTGGGCAGACGTTGATAAAGACATCGGAGAATTACTTCGAGAAGTAGATCCTCAAGGCAATGAAGCTAGTGATGATGAAGAAGACCTTGGAAGGTAGATTATCTATGTTAGTAACTACAATGCTAGTAATGTAATTTAACTTCTTTATTATTGTAATTTGATGTTCCCGTTTTTGTTAAAGGTATGATAAATTTCGTAAGAGTGACAAGAAATCTAAACCAGGTGACGATGAAGAAGCTAATCCAAAGACAGAAGAGGACAACAATGAAAAACCGAAGGTTGATGACAAAGCTTCTACATAAACTAACTACCCTTGAAATGTTTATCAGTACTGTGTATTTCTCTTTTACATATAACAATAAGATGATAATTCTGTGTGTACTTTTATTAAGGTATGCTTAATAAAATATAAGTCAATAAAGTTTGATTTTTATTTTTGTCAATAAAGCTCATATATTACTGATTACTAAATTTTTTTCCTTTAGTATGCCCTTACCCTAAACATATAACATAGTAGTCAATAGTCAACAGATATAATCGTAGTAAAAAATAGGGTAAATAAAGCGAATGAAGCGGAAAAAAGAAGAACTAATTTTGTGCTTTTATAAAATTTCAAAGAGTACCTATATCGCACATAATATTTTCAATTCTCATATTGTTGCAAAATAGCTCCGCCCGCGTTCAGATGACCAAAAACTAAATTCTTAGGTTTTATATATTAGTATACTTGTTTCGGACGACCAGAACCAGGGTATGTCTAGTACCCGGAGGTCGACCTGGGACAATCTCCCAGACGTTCTTGGCGTACACGGCAGTATGTCCGTTCGCTGGTAATGTACGCCACCACGCACCCCTGAATGCGTAGCTTGGGTCCCGATCCACTAGGGTTTCTTCGTTGACAGGAGACTATACTTAGAGGCGATGAAATAAAAACACAATTTTTTCCTTTTTTCTCTCTTGGTTTCGGTTCTTCCTTTTCCTTTTAGTTGTTGCCTCTTCGGTGGCTGTCTTGCGACTGACTCGAATCGAGAAATGGCTCGCCTTTTATTTGGCCCGTTAATACCTTACAGAGAGCCGCGTACTTTGAGCTCATTTTTCGAATAAAATTTCCCTAAACCGAAACCTTGAGAGTCCTTTTATTTTATGTTTTCAGTAAAACACCTTACACATATTTATTTATTTACATGCCTTACATACTATTATACAATATTAAAACATAATATTCAATATATAATAATTAATTAAAAAAGTCTTAAAACAAAAATATCTAAATTTCTAAGTTGCTACATTTTTACTATACATTTTCCCTTATAACTTTTGAACGGATAGTCCTATCGACCTAATTCTTGTTTTATTATAAGTTTTATAATAAAATCTATTATTTAAAACATAAACTATTATGCTATTGCAAGAAACAAAAAATCTCATTTTCAAGTTACGTAATTATATGCTAACATTTTACTTACGTACCTATTCCTTTCAAATTAATGTTAAATAGTCTTATATGATTCAAATAAGCAAAAAATACTCTAAACTAACCTTATTACACTAATTAGAAACTTATTTTAACATAATAAATCTAATAAGAATGAGATTTCATATTTACAACAATTATTCATAATACGCTAAAATGACATTGTCCCTATATTAATACACACGTTACTCGAAGATAAGTTTTCCGTCGCCGACATTCTCCCCCTCGTGCTTTGCACCAACTCCTGGACTCGGCGACGCTCCCGGCACCAACAGCACCACTCTCGAACTGGGCCTCCGTAGAACACCTCCTCTGGTCTCGACGTCGACGACTCTGGTCCGGGATACACATGCAGGATTCTTCCGCGTGGCCAGATGCATCTTGGTAGGCTGTGATCGACGATCAGTACGATGTCTCCGACTTGCAAATCTGTGGCGCTGACTCTTCCTTTGGTCTTCCTTGGTAGTAGAGTGGGCAAATACTCTCTCAGCCAACGTTGCCAGAAGTGATCGGCAAGTCGCTGCGTAGCCTTCCAGGTGTGTCTGCCCACAAGCTCGTTGTCCTCGAAGCTGCCGATTCTTGCTGCGCCACATGATCGCCCGATGAGAAAGTGGTTCGGTGTAAGTGCTTCTTCTTCAGGGTTCTCGGAGAGGTGGGTGAGGGGCCGAGAGTTTGACTATGTGCTCGGCCTCTAACAGGAGGGTATGAAGTACCTCCTCTCGTGGTTGCCTTTCGTTGAGCGTGGCGTCCAGTGCGGTTTTAATGGATCGCACCAGACGCTCCCATGCACCTCCCATGTTTTTGGTGCACCAGGAGGTATGAACTTCCACTGCACACCGATCTTCTCCGCTTCCGAGATAAGGTCTTCTTGCTTCATGGTGTCTAGTGCTTCTTTGAGTTCTTTGTTGGCGCCAACGAAGTTAGTGCCATTGTCGGTGTAGATTATCTTTGGCATTCCCCTTCTCGCGGCGAATCGTCGTAGTGCCATGATCATGCTGTCAGTGGAGAGTGAAGGAGTGAGGCTCAATGTGTACAGCTCGTGTTGTTAAGCATGTGAATAGAGCACCCCATCTCTTCTCATGGCGTCTTGCTACGGTGATCGTCATAGGGCCGAAGTAATCTATTCCCGTGCACGTAAATGGAGGGTTTCCGTGCATCAGCCTCTCAGCAGGTAAGTTGCCCACTGGTAGTTCTTGAGGTCTTGCCTTTCTTGTTTTTGCACCACTGGCATTGATGTTGAATGGTCTTGATCGCTGACCTCAGTCCTAGCACCCAGAAGCGTTGTCTTACTTCGTTCATTACGGTCGCGTGATTCCCGTGATTGAAGCGGCAGTGAAATTCTTCTATGATGAGAAGTGTTGTCTTGTCCTTGCTGTCGAGTACGATGGGTCGTTTGTAGTCTCTGGTAACCCCTCGTATCGCGTCGATTCTTCCTTTCAGTCGCAGGAGACCTTCTTCTAGCACTACGTCGAGCCTTTTCAACTTGCTGCTGCCCTCTAATTGTTTTCCTTGCTGTAGGCACCTGATGTCCTCTTTGAAGCATTTCTCTTGACTTCTTCTTAACAACAGCGTTTCAGCTTGCTCTAGTAGACTTGTTTCCAATGGTATGTATTTCCTTTCTGACGTTTTTGAAGACAGATGTCGCTTCTCAACAATTTTCTTATTCCTTTTTGTAGTTTTCCAGGTAGGATCTTCTTTGCTGGCGTGGACCTTTTCCTTTCTTCTGCAGAGTTGTATGAACTGCAGTACTCTTGCTGTAGCTCGCCAAAGTCTTTTCCACGACGAGAACTTTTCGGGATCTGGTGATGGATAGGAGCTGCCTGCAGTCGCTACGATGTCCGCTGCCTTTTCTTCGCCAGTGGTTTCTTTCTTGAATGTTCTTTGCCGCAGGCCAGTGAACTTCATCTCTTCTTAGAAACCCTGGTCCGGTGTACCATCGGTGTTGGCAGTCGAAGTGTTTCTGGTACGTCACGTGTTGCATCATCTGCAGGGTTCTGCGCCGTCGGTACCCATCTCCAGTCCTGTGGTTTTGTGAGATCTTCTATCTCCGCCAAGCGATGAGCCACGAATGTCTTGAAGGTTCTCGGGTCCGTCTTGATCCATGATAGCACGATACTGGAGTCTGTCCAAAACGTCTTCTTTTCTATTTTCAGATCCATTTCTTCCTCGACCGAGTGTGCCAATCTGCTTCCTAGGAGGGCCGCTTGCAGCTCGAGTCTCGGGATTGACACCGGCTTCAACGGAGCGACTCTTACTTTTGCTGCTACTAAGCTGACGTCATAAGTCCCATTTTGATTTTCAGTTCTCCAATATACCGTAGCTGCATACGCCATTTCGCTTGCATCCGTGAACGTGTGCAGCTCCCCCTCGGTGCGACGTGGTGCCAGACATCTCGGAAATCTTGAAGGTCTTGGAGGCAGCTTCATCTTCTCCAGGTAAGTCTTCCATGACTCGTACTCCTTTTCTTCTATCTCTTCATCCCAACCGACCGCCACTTCGCCATATGTTCTGGAGCAGCCTTTTGCCTTGGATGAGAATTGGTGATGCTAGCCCTAGTGGATCGAAGGTCGACATCACGGCGCTGGTGACTTCTCTCTTCGTAGGTACCTTGAGTCCTTGTGCCACTTCATCTGGCGTGTTCCGAAGGTTCGCCCTAAAGCCTATGGAGTCCCTTTCTGTAAACCAGCGTAGTCCCAGTGTCTTCTCTTCCTTCTCACCAAGGTCCACCTCTGTCTTCTCAACTGACTCAGTCTTCACGTCTTGCAGCAGGTCGGAGTGGTTTGACGCCCATCCTCGGAGTTCGAAGCCCGCCTTTTTGTGAATGAAGTCCACCTGCGCTGTAATTCTCTTGAAGTCCTCTTCTGAATGGAAGCTGTGCAGGTAGTCATCCATGTAATGGTTCAGCTCGATTGGCCTTTGCTGCCTCTGGGTACTGCTTCTTGTAGTCCGCCGCGTTCCGGTTCTTCACGTAGATCGCTGTGCTAGGAGATGATGTCGCGCCGAAGATGACTGATGTCATTCTGTACTCCTTCGGTGCTACGTCACGACGATCCCCTCGCCACAGGAACTTCAAGCTGTTTTCTATCTTCTGGCCGGATGCGAACTTGCAGGAACATTTCCTTTATGTCGGCTGCCACTGCAAACGGGCCTTGCCCGGAACCTCAGTAATACCCCGAAGAGCGATTGCAGTAGGTCTGGTCCCGGTAGTAAAGCGTCGTTGAGGCTTCTCCCTTTAGACTTGGCTGCAGCGTCGAAGACGATCCTTATTTTCCTTCTTCAATGGATGTACCACGGAGAAATGAGGGAGGTTACCATGTCTTCTTTGAATCTTCTTGTCCACCAGGTGCCTTCTTCTGCATACTTGCTGTCGATTAGATGCTGGATCTGCTTATTGTATTCTGCCTTCAGCTGAGGGTCTTTGTCTATCTTCTTTTCAATGTTGAACAATCGGTTCTTGGCAGACGTGTAGCTTTCAGGGCATCTGTTCATCTTCATTTTTCCATAGAAGTCCAGCTTCAAATCGACCATCTTCTAGTCTTCTGCAGGTCTTCTCTAGGATGGTGGAGTGCTCTTTCCTTCTGAATCCGTAGTGGGTCTTCTTGGTAGTACTCCAAGTGCTTCGATTGCGAAGTGATCCTTGATGGCTTGATGCATCTCTTCTTCTGGCGTGCTGACATGTAGACACGTGTTTAAGAAGTGCAACCACTTTCGCGCCTCCAGTGTCTGACCCGTGGAGCACCCATCCAAGTCCTGTTCTTGAAGCGACTGGTTGTCCTGGTTTCCCCTCTTCTTACTTCTTGAGTCACGATTAGCTCCCAGTTGTCT